TGCAACTTCAATGACTAATATGAAACAAATCTATCTTAAAGTTAAGAAGAGATGCAATTTTGTTCAACTGACCATATACATATCATCTCAAGCAGACACTCCAATAGTAAGATTCTTTTTACATGAAGCTGACTAGCGAATGCTCATTCTATACATTTTATAAAAAAATGAGTAATACACCAAAATGAAATCAATAGGGATTTCTTCAACATTCAAATGCATTGGAATGCAGCAATATAAGGCTGCCACTCATACTATGATACCTGGGAACATCTCAGATGAAATTATGAAGATCAATGAGCAAGGCAATTTTCAGGGGGAAAAAACCCAGAATCACATAACCTGCTAAATTAGTTCAGAGGAACAAAACTGAATGGAATTGAAAAGTATAAATGCAAAGAATGCCAAGAACATGAATCTTGTCAAGAGTGTTTTGATATCTTTGGATTCCTGTTTTGCTAATGATGAAAAATATTGAGAGTTTTAATCCAGTAACACCCGGAGGACCGCACATTACTAAATTTTTGCATGAATGAATGTGGCTGTTGACCCCCACCCCACACACATTATAACACTCTCCTTCTACCCCCTTCCTCACTTTCCCTCTAGTTTCACCAATCAGTTTAAAGTCTGTTGTTCCAAGCATAATCTATTAAAATCTCCAAGATTTTAACAGAACAATTTGCTGAAGACAAGTTTAGAATTCAACCCCTGGAAAATTTTGTACATATAGCAATTCTGATAACCTTGAGCAAATACTGTGAAATATGAGAGCTCCCTCTTACAAGGTCTAATAACATACTGCTGCTATTACTTCAACACATTAAACAATAAAGGCATTACTTCATAATAATAGCAGTAATACATATAAATACATAGCCCAAGGCCAGGTTATTTAAGGGACCACATTCGCCTGCAGAAATCCACTTGTGTTCTGAGATCTTCATCTAGATAGCCCTGCTGACTGCCTCAACGCCTGCTCAGGTGTATCTGGTGCTGATGCATTTTGGATGAGTGATTCTCAATTTTTTCTCAAAAATTTGTCCGGTGTCTATTTTAAGAATATTTGTTTTAATTTGTATAATCTAAAAGGGGATGCAAAAATGCTTGAATAATAGTAGTAGCATTTATCTTAAAAATAAGAGGTTTGCAGACCTGAGAGTCATACAAAAGTAGATATGATTATAGCATCCAAACTGCTTTGCCTAACCTTTGTAAGTAGCCTCGAATTCCTAAATGGAAAAAGGGCAGGATGTAAAGAAATATTGATATAAAAATAGTAAATTGTTTAAAATATTGATATGCTTTCCACCAGCAGCATTCATGGCAAATCCTAATTGTGGGCTAGAAAGAGCCATACAATAGATGGTTCAGGAGGCCATTTGGCCAACCCTGAGATCTTCAGGAGAGGCCCTTCTCTTGATCCCACCTCCATCCTCAGTTAGTGAGAACCAGAGTGGGCCTTCCTTCTCAGTGGCTGCCCTTTGACTCTGGAAGTCCCTGCCCAAGGAAGCCAGAATGGCCCCCTCCTTGCTGTCCTTCTGGCAACAGGTTAAAACCTTTTTATTCAGACAGGCTTTTAAAGATGAAGGCATTTATTATCTAGTCAAGGGGTGCTGCGGTTTTTAATTCTGAATTTAATTATTTTTAACTGGTAACTTTTTAAAAGCTGTTTATATTCAATCCTGTTTTTAAAAGGTAAAGGTTTCCCCTTGACATTAAGTCTAGTCATGTCCTACTCTGGAGGGGGTAGTGCTCATCTCCATTTCTGAGCCAGTGTTGCTCGTAGACACCTCCATGGTCATGTGGCCAGCATAACTACATGGAGCGCTGTTACCTTCCTGCCAAGGCGGTACCTATTGATGTACTCAGTACATTTGCATGTGTTCGAACTGCTAGGTTGGCAGAAGCTGGGGTAACAGTGGGAGCTCACCCCACTCACCGGATTCGAACGGCCTACCTTACGGCCAGCAAGTTCAGTAGTTCAACCTGCTGTGCAACTGGGGGCTCATTAAATCCTGTTTTAGTGTTTGTATATTGGTATATTTTAAATGGTTATTCTGATGCTTTTATGTTAAGCTGCTTTGAGTCCCCTTTGGGGAGCTAAAGCGGGGTATAAATAAAATATAATAATAATAATAATAATAATAATAATAATAATAATAATAATAGTAATACAATGGCAGATGTTACCTGTAGCATTCAGCCTCACTTGGGGCCCCTACGCACAGCTATAGAACTGAGAATATCAAGGCAAATAATCCACAAGTTCTACTTTGAACTGGATTACAGTTCACATTGCCAGATAATCCAGTTCAATGTGGATTTTATGCAGCTGTGTGGAAGGGGCCTCGGGGTCTCATAACACTAGAGAATGAACTTTAAATCTAGTTGCTGCCTCCTGCAGAATTCTATTTATTTATTTACTTACTATATTTATATACCGTCCCTCTCAGCCCAGAGGTGACTCTGGACTAAGAGGGAATTGTAGTTTAGGGAGGAGCCTTTAACAGCCTCACAAGTGGTTGGTTAAAGACTCCCTCTTTCTTCTCTCCTGAAAAAATACTGATATAATAACCATAGTGACAATAATAATAATAACAAGTTCTTTATTATATCAATTTCTGGGAGGTTGTAATTAGGTTGTAATTAGGCTGAATGCTACGGTTATTTGTGACTATAATTATTGCATTTTGAAAAGTAGAGGTTTATGGACCAGACAGAGCCATTCATAAGGAGATGTAAATGTAGATTTCAACCTCATCTGTTTAAAGACGGCCTCTCAGAAAATACTGAAATAGGGCCCTGCCACACAGCCATATAACCCAGAATATCAGGGCAGAAAATCCAACAATATTTGCTTTGAACTGGGGCCCCTTCCACACAGCTGAATAAAACCTCACATTATCTGCTTTGAACTGGGATATATGGCAGTGTGGATTCAGGTAACCCAGTTCAAAGCAAATATTGTGGGATTTCCTGCCTTGAGATTCTGGGTGGAAGGGCCCTGGGTTATCAGAGTCCACACTGCCATATATTCCAGTTCAAAGCAGATAATGTGGGATTTGATACAGCTGTGTAGAAGAAGCCTTAATCATAGCAGTGATTAAGATTGTTGTAGGTTTTTTCGGGCTATATGGCCATGGTCTAGAGGCATTCTCTCCTGACGTTTTGCCTGCATCTATGGCAAGCATCCTCAGAGGTAGTGAGGTCTGTTGGAACTAGGAAAAGGCTTTATATATCTGTGGAATGACCAGGATGGGACAAAGGACTCTTGTCTGCTGGAGCTAGGTGTGAATATGTAATAAGAAATTAAATGTGCAAATTTGATAAATGTGAATTTAATATGATGTGTGGGAATGAATGGAAGAATGGAAGGATGTGTGGTTGGAGTTAATAATTTTGGAAACACCAGTATAATATTAAGGCCTGCAATGACTAACTACCTGCTTGCTGGACTTGCTAATGAGAAACTGTGATAAGAACTGGGACAGTGATAAAGGAAATGTTTACAACCTTCCTTATGTTAAGAAGGAAGTCAACATAAGATCAACACCAATCAAGAAGATCAACATCTGCCCTGGAAACTGAGAAGGATCCAGGATGGAAGGTGTCTATCATTAATTTACAACTTTGGGACTACATCAAAAGAATATTCCTATAAAAGACCCAGATTAATAATGCTCAAATCGTGGCAGACTGAGGAGTCTGTTCCACCCGCCATGCTCTGCTCCATGGGAAGGAGAGAGGTGGTGTATTCAGAGAATGTCAGATATGCTATGGGGAAAGCATGATTCTGGACACTTTGGGGCTTCTTTCTCAAGGGAAGAGGAAGAAGTGCGCTTTTGGTGTCCTGGATTTTGTGCAGGGAATCAAGTTCTGCTGTATGGAAAACAGAGATCTGGTCCTTGGCATTGTTCTTAGGGAAAGAAGTTTTGGCATTTCAGCGTTTTGAAGTTATGGCATTATGGAAGTTATGGAACTATGCACTGGCAGGCTGCAGGAAATCAGGGTCTGGCCTTACAGGTGCTTCTCCAAGGAGGGAGAAAAGGATATGGTAATATTTGGATGCATGTGGATGAATGAATGTACATATGTGTGAATGCTGAGTGAAAATGTAATTCCCCTTTGTTTGTTAACCAATGTAACTGTGAATCCAATGTAGTTACATAGAATCTGTATGTCCAATGTCATTCTTTGTCTAAATTTTTTCTGTAATCTGATATACTTTCTCACACTGGAAATTGCAATAAAAAGAACCTATGCATCAAAGTTATTGAAAAGTCATTCATGACAAATGTTTCAACTGACCACCTTGATTAGCATATAATGGCCTGACAGTGCCTAGAGCAAACTTTTGTTGAAAGGTGATTAGATGTCCTTGCTTGTTTCCTCTCTGTTGTTGTGCTGTTGTAATTTTAGAGTGTTTTTTTTTAATACTGGTAGCCATTTTTTTGTTCATTTTCATGGTCCCACCCTGGTCATTCCATAGAAAAACTCTAAAATTACAACAGCACAACAGAGAGGAAACAAAGAAGGACATCTAATCACCTCTCAACAAAAGTTTGCTCTAGGCACTGTCAGGCCATTATATGCTAATCAAGGTGGTCAGTTGAAACATTCACACCTAGCTCCAGCAGACAAGAGTCCTTTGTCCCACCCTGGTCATTCCACAGATATATAAACCCATTTTCCTAGTTCCAACAGACCTCACTACCTCTGAGGATGCTTGCCATAGATGCAGGCGAAACGTCAGGAGAGAATGCCCTAGACCATGGCCATATAGCCCGAAAAAACCTACAACAACCCAGTGATTCCGGCCATGAAAGCCTTCGACAGTGATTAGGATAGTTTGAAAGAGGCTTGGAGAGCAGAGAGAGCCGCACAAGAGGAGATGTGAATGGCAGCACTCGCCCTCGTTCGCTTCCCTCAGAAAGGCCTTTCCCTTTTTCCCTCCCTCCCTCCCTCAGCGAGGAGGCCCCAACCCGCCATTCACGCACTCTGGGTGTCCGTGAGGGAGATCATGGTTGCGGTGGAGACTGGAGGGCAATCCGCGGGAAGAGGGAGAGCCGGAGCGAGGCGAGGAAGCGGCCCCGGCTTCGGCCACGTCTCCCGGAAACACGCAGCCGCCTCACTCCCCCGACGACGGCAGCGGCGGCGGCTCTGACTTCTGCCGCTCCTGCCGCCACGACTCAATAACTCCGCGTCCTATTGGGCGAGGCGCGGCCAGCCAATCAGCGCGCCGCTTGTCCCCTCCTCAGAGGAAAAGGAGCCTCGGCGCTGAGGTGGCCCGAGGGGGAGGCAACAGCCAATCAGAGACGAGCGCTGCGGTTCGAGCGGTGATTGGCTGCTTGGTTGGACCGGAAGCGGAAGCGGGTGAAAGATGCCTGTGAAGGGAAAAGGGAAAGGATGGAGAAGTGGGGTAAGTACTCTCTTTACCATAGACTAGGTGCCATCCACGCTACATCACGGGAGTTATAGTTACCCAGTTGTACTGTGCTTTTATTGAGCCTTCCCTGCCAAAGAGTGCTGCTGGTGCCTCATAGAATCATAGAATCAAAGAGTTGGAAGAGACCTCATGGGTCGCCTGCATCTATGGCAAGCATCCTCAGAGGTAGTCAGGTCTGTTAGAACTAGGAAAAAGGGTTTATATATCTGTGGAATGACCAGGGTGGGACAAAGGACTCTTGTCTGCTGGAGCTAGGTGTAAATGTTTCAACTGAACACCTTGGTTAGCATTTGATTGCCTGGCAGTGCCTGGAGCAATCTTTTGTTGAGAGGTAATTAGATGTCCTTGGACAAGAGGGATCCTCCCGCTTCTGCAGGAATCATAGAATCAAAGAGTTGGAAGAGACCTCGTGGGTCATCCAGTCCAACCCCCTGCCAAGAAGCAGGAATATTGCATTCAAATCATCCCTGACAGATGGCCATCCAGCCTCTGTTTAAAAGCTTCCAAAGAAGGAGCCTCCACCACACTCTCGGGGCAGAGAGTTCCACTGCTGAACGGCTCTTCACAGTCAGGAAGTTCTTCCTCATGTTCAGATGGAATCTTCTTTCTTGTAGTTTGAAGCCATTGTTTCTTGTTCTAGTCTCCAGGGAAGCAGAAAACAAGCTTGCTCCCTCCTCCCTGTGGCTTCCTCTCACATATTTATACATGGCTATCATATCTCCTCTCAGCCTTCTTTTCTTCAGCTCCTTAAGCCGCTCCTCATAGGGCTTGTTCTCCAGACCTTTTATCATTTTAGTCGCCCTCCTCTGGACACATTCCAGCTTGTCAATATCTCTCTTGAATTGTGGTGCCCAGAATTGGACACAATATTCCAGGTGTGGTCTAACCAAGGCAGAATAGAGGGGTAGCATGACTTCCCTAGATCTAGACACTATGCTCCTATTGATGCAGGCCAAAATCCCATTGGCTTTTTTTGCCGCCACATCACATTGTTGGCTCATGTTTAACTTGTTGTCCACGAGGACTCCAAGATCTTTTTCACACGTACTGCTCTCGAGCCAGGCATCGTCCCCCATTCTATATCTTTGCATTTCATTTTTCCTGCCAAAGTGGAGTATCTTGCATTTATCACTGTTAAACTTCATTCTAGAACAGGCATGGGCCAACTTCGGCCCTCCAGTTTTTTTTTTTTTTGAACTTCTGGTCCCACAATCCCTAACTCTTACTTACTTACTTAGGCGATCCCTCGTAGTCCTCCAAGTTCGGTGTCCTGGCGGTGGGTTCGTAGGTAGCTGTGGAGCCCTATTCTTGATCTGCATCTTCTCCCACAGTGAGGGCATTGGTTTCCAGGTGGAAGGTGGTCTCGGTCGGGGTTGGCTTGATGTGCCTTTCTCTTGGCACGCTTCTCCCTTTCACCCTCCATTCGTGCCTCTTCGAATTCTGCAACACTGCTGGTCACAGCTGACCTCCAGCTGGAGCGCTTAAGGCACGCTTCCCAGTTCTCAGCGTCTATGCCAAAGATTTTAAGATTGGCTTTGAGCCCGTCTTTAAATCTCTTTTCCTGCCCATCAACATTCTGTTTTCCGTTCTTGAGTTCTGAGTAAAGCATCTGCTTTGGGAGGTGGGGGCCGGGTATCCGGACAACTGAGTTGATGGCGGAGGACCATCACTTCAATGCTGGTGGTCTTTGCTTGTTTGTCTGCCTGTCTTCCCAAGAGATTTGCAGGATTTTCTGGAGGCAGTGCTGATGGAATCGTTCCAGGAGTTGCATGTGATGTCTGTAGACAGGCATATAGCAGGGCTGGGAGGGCAATAGCTTTATAGACAAGCACCTTGGTATCCCTACAGATGTCCCTAACATCAGGTAGTTTGCCCATGCCTGGACTGGATGGCCCTTGTCTGTCAGATCCTGAGAGTCTATGAATCTTACATGAGTGTATTTACAAATTTCACAGTTTTGACTGCTGAAGAGACTTCAGTCATCCAATCCTTGGTTAATGGATTCCAGGTCTTAAGTGTTTGAATCTGTGCTAGTTTGGTAAGTGAAAACTGTTAATCTTGGTTCTATGAGTGCAGTGTTAATTTCCAGGTCATGTGCTCCCATCACAGATTAACTGAATTTGTCAGTTATGAGAAAGTTCATGTCTGGCCACAGTAGTACACGCTCTTTTTACATCCCAAATAGATTACTGCAACACGCTCTACGTGGGGTTGCCTTTGAAGACTGTTCGGAAACTTCAACTAGTCCAACGGGCGGCAGCTAGACTTCTCACTGGAGCATCATACAGGGAGCATACCTCCCCTCTGTTATGTCAGCTCCACTGGCTGCCGATTCAGTTCCGAGCACAATTCAAAGTGCTGGTCTTGCCCTATAAAACTCTATACGGCACCGGCCCAGCGTACCTGACCAAACGTATCTCCTTTAATGTTCTGCGTAGGAATTTAAGATCTTCTGGAGGGGCCCTGGTCTCGGCCCCGCCCTTGTCACAGATGAGCTTGGCGGGGACGAGGGACAGGGCCTTCTCGGTGGTGGCCCCCCACCTGTGGAATTCACTCCCCGGGGAAATTAGATCATCATCATCCTCTCTTTCAGAAGGAAATTTAAAACATGGATATAGGACCAGGCCTTTGGGTAATCTGACAGACTGGCAAGGACAATGACGACTAAAGCTTTGGAAACAGACTATGATAAGCGGAATTAGTTTATTAATTATGGACTTGGCGAAACAATGGCCACCAGGCTGGCTTTTTCTTGTATTAATGTAATGTTTTAACTGTTTATAATTATTGTTACTATGTATTTTATTGTGTTGAATTGTAGGCATCAAACGCATGCCGATTGGAAGCCGCCCTGAGTCCCCCTTACGGGGTTGAGAAGGGCAGGGTAGAAGTACCCAAAATAAAGAAATAAATAGTTTATGCCTTATCCCTATGGCTTGGATGAATCCACTTCCTATAAGTGTTCATAGTAAAAGACCAGTCTCCCAATATTGTGGTATCCATTAAGATCCAAGACTGCTCTTGAGCTTCTTCTACAGGGTGAGGCAGCAAAACTTCCTTTTTTCAAAACTTAATAAAACCCATTGTATGAATCAAAATGTTTTTTATAATGTAGGCACATACCTAAAATTTTGTTTTGCGTAGTTTTGAAGATCAAATTAGGTAGGTGACATCCCCCATACATTGAGTAAACCGATTTCTGGCGTTTGTCATGATTCTTGCCAACATACCAGGCGTTATGTTGGCAATTTCTTCCTGGATGTTGGTCTTCAAATCTTGTAGGGTCCTTGGACGGTTCACATAAACACGGGATTTCAAAATCCATAGAAAAAAATCACAAGGGGCCAAATCTGGAGAGCGGGTCGGCCACTCCAAATCCGCTCGAAAAGTAGGCCTCGATGGCAGAAGCACGCTCCTCACTGTTCCAATGCATGATGGCGATTGAACTGTGTCAGGACAAAACTTTGTACTCCTGCTTCTCGAACGAGACCACTAGCGCTCCACTACGTCTTCAACTGACTGAATGACATGCATTTAAAAAAAATGAAGTTATGCTGCCTCACCCTGTGGAACAGGCATGGGCCAACTTCGGCCCTCCCTCAAGTTTTTTTTTTTTTTTTTTTTTTGACTTCAGGTCTCACAATCCCTAACAGCAGGTAGTTTGCCCGTGCCTGGACTGGATGGCCCTTGTCTGTCAGATCCTGAGAGTCTATGAATCTTACATGAGTTTATTTACAAATTTCACAGTTTTGACTGCTGAAGAGACTTCAGTCATCCAATCCTTGGTTAATGGATTCCAGGTCTTAAGAGTTTGAATCTATGCTAGTTTGGTAAGTGAAAACCGTTAATCCTTGGTTCTATGAGTGCAGTGTTAATTTACAAGTCATGTGCTCTGCCACAGATGAACTGAATTTGTCAGTTATGAGAAGGTTCATGTTGTTTATGCCATATCCCTATGGCTTGGATGAATCCACTTCCTATAAGTGTTCATAGTAAAGGCCAGTCTCCCAATATTATGTTATCCATTAAGATCCAAGACTGCTCTTGAGCTTTTTCTATATACAGGCAGTCCCCAAGTTTGTTCTTAAATTGTAGGTTTGTTCTTAAGTTGAATTTGTATGTAAGTGAGATCAGGTACATTTTTAAAGTGTAACTCCAGCCACACACACACATATAAAAGCTTTGGATAGCATAGGGAAGGGTTAACCCCGCTGGGGTGTTTGCTTTGCTGTCTGTGCCCCTGTCCACCCCACTTTCTGTCCCTGTGATAATAGGATTTTGAAAAATGTGGCTTGTTGTGGGAACAAGGATTAGAGATAAAGCTTCAGTAAAGACACTTTTTCCCCATGATAACTCTTTCAGAAGTGAATTTCTCTCACTTCCTGTTGTCTCATCCCTGTTCTTAACTGTGAGTCATTTGTAACTCAGATGTGTGTGGAGCGCAGGGACTTTTCACAGCGACACCAGAGGCACTCTAAGTGGTCTGCTACTGGTCAAAGGATATTTAGCAAAATGCGAAGTTTTTAAACTTTATTTTTGTTTTAAATACATTTTAACTGTATCCTCAATTCACTTCTGACAAAATAAATAAACTCAAGACCTGCTTGTACATTTAAAAAGCATGTGGTTTCCCACTACTGCCATGTCAGTATTGCACTTCAAAGCAACGTGTTAGCCCTCTGTTTTCCTCTAAGAACTGTATATCTTCTAAACATCATATCTTGGCATTTCTTTCTACCATTTTTATTATTTAATGTGACCCTTTGTGCTACCTCTTTCTTTTTGGAGTTCAGGTAACTTTTAATTTTATGTTATTGTTGAATGTGATTGGGATTTTAGAGGATGGAGATTAATAGCAAGGCTTCTAATTGGGATATAGAACTATGTGTGTGAATCCTGTAGGTGTCATGCATTTTGCCTATTTGTAAACCATCACTTTACCAATGCAGGAAAATACAACTGTATTGCCCATTGAATACATCCTAAAATCTGTATTGTGATACCTATGTCATGCCAACCAAAATGGCACAGATTTCATTGGATGGCTATATGTGTGTATAGTCAATCCTCCACATTTGCGGGATTGATTAAAATGCTGTCTCTCAGAATCGCTATATCCTCCATTGCAGGCCCGTAGCCAGGATTTCGTTTCGGGGGGGGGGGGGGCAAAAAATTTTCAGGGGTTGGGGGGCTGAGTTTGTTGGGGGGGCTGAGTCTGAGTGAAAGAGGGTCTAGCCTAGCAAACCTTTTGTATCATTACCAATACCCCCATGCATATGGGATATATTGAGTATGGTGATCAGATCATGATATGAATAAACATAACATTTGTTTGGGTTCAGCCTGAGTTTGAACTTGAACCTGATTCTCTGTTTGTTCCTCCTGATGCTAATGAAAGTATATTTACTGATGCTAGTGGAAATGTACCTTTTGATGCCAATGCTCCTGAAATTAGTGAGGAAGAAACTGCTGTAGGTTTGGAAAATGCCAATGTTCCTGAAATTAGTGAGGAAGGAACTTCTGTAGATTTGGAAAATGAAAGTACCAGTGTTCATGAGAATGTTTCAGAGGGAGACCTTGAACTTTCCCTCCCTTCTGCACCTGTTAACTGTAATGACAACAGAAGGGGCCAAATTTGGGAAGACAGAAATAAAACACTCAGTTTGCGTCGATCCTCCCGAATTCAAGAATTAAAAACATTGGCTTCAAAACAGTGGGCCGGTTCACGGAACCGATTCTTGAGTTTTAATTGCAATACGCCAGGCTGATTCCCTCAGTTCAGGCATCGTTTCAGAATTGATGAAGACCTTGGCAGTTCTCCCGGTTCCCTGGCCATAGTATGGAAAGATTTCTAGGATATCAAGTACGGTTAGTGGATTGCTAACAGCTTCAAGTATTTCTCAGAGAGGCTTGTGGTTTTGCCTTGTCCATTTAAATTCATGTTTGCTGATTTTGCTGTGGCTTTTGACTTGCATTTTTCCTTTATTTTGTAACTATTTTTCTTCAATAAAAAAGGATTGTTTTTCACAGCCAAGTGTGGTGGATAGTTATCTTAGGCCTCGTTCTCTGCTCTGGATTGCAACACAGTGAGGAGAGAGGATGCCTGGAAGAGAACTCGATGAGAATTTCAGGGGCTGAAGCCCCCCGACCCCCCCCCCCCCCCGGCTATATGCCTGCTCCATTGCATAAGTTGACCATAGACTTGTGCTGGAAGACCTAGAGATTGCTATGTGTAGAAAAATGGCAGAATCAAGGTTTGCTTTTTGGTTTTTAAAAAACTATTTCCAAAGCATGGAGGCTTTAATATATGTGGATGCAGAATCCATGGATACAGGAGGCCAGTGTACTGTATTGGAATATGTAATGCCCTCTAGTGGATAAAGTAATGTTTTATTAATACATTGTGGCAGAACAAAGCAACAGTAGATTTTGAATTTTGAAAAAAATTAGGAATTGCCCTGCGTGTGTTTGTGTGTCTTTGTCCTAGCAACCCTAGAGACTAAAGGACCTACATAAACACTTTGATAAACCTAATCCACCTAAGTCTTCCACCTCGGCTGTACTCCATTTTAAGACTGTGACTCATGCAGACATTACGGCTTTAAAATCAAGCTACATATTATATGCTTGATCCATTCTTTGTTGAGTATGCAATATGTTGAACAGAATGGAATACAAGTAGTCACTGAGTTACAAACATCCAACTTACAAAGGAATCATAATTATAAATGGGGGTGAAACAACAGGAAGCGAGAAAAATCTACCCCTAGGAAGGGAAATTCACTCCTGGAAAGAGTTATCATGGGGGAAAAGTATAATAACTGAAGCCTTATCACTAAACAAGCCATTTTTTCTAAATGCAGTTAGCACAGGAACAGAAGGTGAAATGAAATCTTCTGAACAAGGGCACAGACAGCTAAACAAACACCACAGGGGGTGTCGAAGGCTTTCATGGCTGGAATCTCTGGGTTGCTGTGATTTTTTGGGAGGCTATATGAACATGTTCCAGTAGCTTTCTCTCCTGACATTTCGCTTGCATCTGTGGCTGGCATCTTCAGAGATTCTGTACTCAATGCTATTCAAACTTTATATATGTGCAATAGACAATTGGAATGGCTCCGGATTATAATTTTGGACTGCATGGTTTTAAAATGTTGCTGCTAAGGTGTTTCAATTCTTTGTATTTAATGTAATTTCTTGTTTCAATTGACTGTTGTTTATATGACATTGAATTGTAAGGCCACCATGAATCCCCTTCAGGGTGAGAAGAGTGGGATATAAATGTGGTGTGTGTGTGTGTGTGTATATATGTGTGTGTGTATGGATTTGGCTAAGCGGTGGTAGCTGGCACAAATAATGAAAAATCCTATCCTGTTGACTCACTGAGTTTGATGGTGAACTCCAGTAGCTGAATGTGGGAAATAATATTTTTTTTTTTTGCAAGATGCCTACCTTTGGTCCTTTGCTAGGATAAAAGCAGAGTAAATACAAAAACAAATAAATAACTTTTACACCAGAAGGTATTTATTTATATATTCTTTTACCTAACAGCTTTGATAGTGTGTGTGTGTGTGTGTGTGTATGTATATATGTGTGTGTGTGTGTGTGTGTGTGTGTGTGTGTGTATAATGTTGGATTCATTCTGACTTACTGGAAGATATTCTGGCTGTTAGCAGACTTTCAGATTTGTGTTGTTTCAACTTTTTTATTTAGGAAGAAACAAAGACTGCTTTGTCTTACAATTATCAAGTGAGGTGCATTTTTGATATTGAACATGGCAACAACTCTTTCAGGTAACTAAATTTTCCACATCCTTTTACTTGATAAGGTCAGGAATGCCAAAGAAATCTGTTCATTATTCATAAGAGATAGTAAAATTATGGCTATATACACAGAGTTCTTCATTCTGGAATTTCAGCCAAACTGTATAAAACTGAATGTGAAGCAGTAAGGAAGGGTTGGAGTAGCTGATGCCCTGTGTGAAATAACTGGGTAAAGGAATCTCCTCCAGGATGAGAGTTGATATATACTAATAATACAGTTAGCCTTCCAAATTCATTGGGGTTAAGAACACAGCACCCACGGAAAAGTGAAAAACCAAGAATAAAGATTTTTTTTTCACCTCATAGAACATCTCTCTAGGAATTTCTAAGTCTTGCAGCACAACTCCAGAAATCTCTAGGTCTTCAAGCATGACTGGAGGATGTTGACCATAGAGTTATACTGAAAGGCCTATACATTCCTAGAGAGAGAATGTTTTCAATCAAATCCATCAGATCCACAAAAGTCAAAACAGCAAATGTGGAGGGATAACTGTACGTACTGAAAGCACGTTGCATTGTTTTTGGGTTTTTTTTCAAAAACTAGGCAGGGTTAGTTCTTGGATGGGTAAGCATCCCATTCTCCAGGGCGGGCCAGGAAAGCATCCTGTTGGGGAATGCTAAGAGAGAAGAATATAAAAAGATAGACTTCAGTGTTAACTGTTTAGATAAGGCAAGTCAGTAGTAGAGATAGGAACAGATAACCTTAAAAACGCCTTTTGTCTCCTAAAAGGAAGAGTGATGGGATGATAGCAGGAAGATGCCTTGTATTGAGTCTGGAGTGGGTTAACTGCCCAGTAAGAGAAAGATTACAAATGTTGGCATGTGTTTCATTCTCCTTCCACTTTAGTGTTGCAAGAGGAACTTGCTTCTGTAGATAGTGAACTGCAGGCAGTGGAGATCCAAGTCCAAGAACTCCTGGAACGTCAGCAGGACCTTCTTCAGAAGAAGTCAGTCCTGACAAAGAAAATAAAGCAATTTTCTGATACTGAGAGTGGGAGCAGCAAAGATACGGAATCAGCAGTAGAGGACTGGAACAAGGAAGGTGTGCAAGATAAGATCCCATTATTTTTGTGTTGTTGTGCTGTCTTTTTAACTGTTTCCAAGCGAATAACATACTGAAATATATTTGATATGTTTTTTTAAAGTAATCATTAAAGTTACTTCAAAGTTCAGACATAAGGCAGATGTATCCTCGCTCCCATTCATTGTGAAGAGTTTTCCAGTTGGTTGATTTAATTGTTCATCATGAAGTTAAGTGTGTCCTTCAGCCAATACATAACAGTTTCAGGGACTGAGAAGTAACATTGGAAGAGTAGGTTTGCTGTTTCTCTTTGGTAGAAACAGCCTTTTGTCATCAGTTTTTCTTTCAAATAAATCCCAGAATGGTTTTAAAACTATTTGTTTCCTATTCGCAGATTTTCCATGGTCCAAAAAGGTCAGAGAAGTGTTGCGAAATAACTTCAAGCTCCCCAAATTTAGACCTTTACAACTGGAAACAATCAATGTAACAATGGCAGGAAGAGATGTGTTCCTTGTTATGCCTACAGGTGGAGGGAAGAGTTTGTGTTACCAGCTACCAGCAGTATGTTCTGATGGTATGTGCACCGGTTTTATAATCAAAATAACACTGTATTATGTTGCTAACTGTTGGGGATGTTTATGTAGAATTCCTGTCAACTTATGGCAACTCTATAAATGTCATTGGATTTTTAAGTCAAGGAATACTCAGAGGTGACTGCCAGTTTTTTCATCTAAAATATAGTCCAGTATTTATTGCTGGCCATCCATCCAAGTACCAAGCAGATCAGATGGGATCTGATTCCTTTGTGGTATTTAGGTCCCAGTTGTGTGAGTCACCGATAGGCTGAGAAAGGCGGCATACAAATACAGTAAATAAATAAATAAAATGTTTTGATTTGATGCAAAGCTCTTTTCTAACATTTGTGAAATGCATTTCTGTGCTGTAGAGGTGTCATAACATTCAGTATTTCTTCAATTCTGTGACACACCTTTTTCACAATACAAACATTTCTAAAACTGCGTGCATCATATATCTATTTCTTTTTTTCTGAAATTAATGTGTGTCTTACAATTGATGGAATCTTAGAACTGAAGAAATATGGTTATATACTAGGCCTGGGCGGTTTCGTTTCGTTAATTCGTAATTCGTTAATAATTCGTTAATTTTTCCAATTACAAAACGATAACGAACCATTCTGGAGCTCGTAAATTTCGAATTTTTTTTTAAATGATTTTTATTAAATATTTTATAAAACAGGACAACGAAAGAGGGGGAACAATAAGAAGAAAATAGAAAAGTAGGAAAAAAGAAAAAAGGACAAAAAAAAAAAAACCCAAAAAAGAGACTAAACTAACCTAAACTATTCTAAAATGACTTCCACTCCAACATCAGGATCTTTTCCATCAACTTCTTCTACTCTTGTCTATTCTTATCCTCTAATATTTTTCTAAATTTCTTTTCATAATCATAAAAAGAAGTCCAGTCTGTTCTCTTTAGCGGTTTCCCGGTATTTCTTCTCATTAAAAATGTCAATTCGTCCATGTCTCTAATTTCTTTGACTTTCTCCAACCATTCTTCAACAGTAGGTATCTGTTCATTTTTCCAAAATTTGGCAAAAATAATTCTTGCCGCAGTGGTAAAGTACGTGAATAATTTATCTTCATTTTCCTCTACTTTAAGGTCAGAGTCCGTAAATCCTAATAAATAATATTCAGGTTTCTTTCTAAACCTTCTCTTCAGTATCTTTTGTATTTCTTCATGTATAGATGCCCAGAACTTAGTTGTTTCTTTGCACGTCCACCACATGTGGAAGAATGTGCCCGTTTGTTCTCCACATTTCCAACACTTATCTGAGACATTTGGGTACATATGGCTTAGTTTATTCGGAGTCAGATACCATCTATAAAACATTTTGTACCAATTTTCCTTCAAATCCATGGCATAAGTATATTTCAACTTTTTATTCCACATTTGTTCCCATTCTCTAAATTGAATGGGCCGTCTTAGATTTTCGGCCCATTTAATCATACAATTTTTAACCTGCTCTTTTTCCGTTTGCCATTGGATCAATTTGTTGTAAAGAATTGTGACTACCTTTTTCTCAATTTTTAAAACTTTATCCCATGTGTTTTCTTCCCAGTCAAATCCAATTTTTTGATCTTGTTTGAAGTGCTCTTTGATTTGAAGGTAGTGTAACCAGGTTATATTTCCGAACATGTTCTTAAGTTGTTCAAACGATTTAATCTTCATTTCCCCTTTCAACAGAATATCCTTGTATCTTGGCCAAATCCTCCATCCTAAGAGTCTTCTTTGATGGGCCTCCATCGCCGAGACCCAAAGAGGTGTAACTTTATAAAAGAGGGCTTTGTATCTTAACCATGTCCTCAATAGGGAGGCTCGCACGAAATGATTTCCAATTTTTTTTCCCTTAGATTCTCTATTATACCACACATAAGCGTGCCAGCCTACCCTCAGGTCATGGCCCTCTAAGTTTAAGCACTTTTCCTTATTCAAATTCATCCAATCTCTTATCCATGATAGAGCACAAGCCTCGTGATAAGTTTTCAAGTCTGGGAATCCCAGACCTCCTCTCGTTTTTTTATCAATTAAGTTTATGTAATTAATTCTTGGCCTTTTCCCTTTCCAAATGAATTTAAGTAGATCTTTCTTCCATTTTTTAAACAAAGTTTGATTTCTTATTACCGGTATATTTTGGAATAGGAATATAAGTCTTGGAAGAACATTCATCTTTATTAATGATATTCTACCCAGGAGTGATAGATTTAAGTAGTTCCATTTTTGTAAGTCCTTTTGAATTTTATTCCAAACTATTTCGTAGTTATTCTTCAGAAGTTGGCAGTTTCTCGCGGTAATCCAGACTCCTAAGTATTTAATTTTCTTCACACTCTCTATCCCCAATTGTTGTTGAATCTTTATTTGTCTCTCCTTTTTCACATTTTTAAATAACAGTTTTGTCTTCTTCATATTCATTTTGAATCCAGCCACTTTTCCAAATTGCTCTATTTTCGTTATCCAATGTTGTAGGTTTTTATCTGGATCTTCAATTGTTCCTAATAAATCATCTGCAAACGCCCGTATTTTATATTCGAATTTGCCGATTTTCGTTCCTTTTATATTTTCATCTTCTCTAATTTTCTTCATTAGGATCTCCATAGCCATTATAAAAATCAGTGGGGATAATGGGCATCCTTGTCTAGTGCCCTTCGCAATTTTAAATTCTTGTGTCAATTGTCCATTTATTTTCACTTTGGCTTTTTGATCATTATAGATAGCATTAATTTTTCTCCCATATCCAATTCTTGTATTAATATCTTGAAAAAATCCCAATTTAAATTGTCAAAAGCTTTCTCAGCGTCTATTGCTAAAATAGCGAATTCTTTTTGATGATTTGTCTCATAGTATTCCAAAATATCAAGGACATTGCGAATATTTTCTTTCATATGTCTATTTGGGAGAAAACCCGTTTGCTCTTCTCCAATCCATTTATTAAGAAACACTTTTAGCCTTGTGGCCATAATATTTGCAAATATTTTATAGTCCGTGTTTAAGAGAGAGATCGGCCTATAGTTTTTAATATCATTTTCCGGGGAGCCTTCCTTATGAATCACTGTTATTTCCGCTTCTTTCCATGAGTCTGGAACTTTCCGATATTTCATCGCTTCATTTGCGATAGTTTTAAGTATTGGGAGTAACTGTTGTTTAAAGGATTTATAAAATCCAGCCGTAAATCCATCCGGCCCTGGGGCTTTATCTCCATTCATTTTATTGATTGCTTTTTCTATCTCCTCCTCCGATATCTCTTTATTCAATTCTTCTCTATCCTCATCCGTTATTTTGTCTAGTTTCATTTGGCCAATGTACTCCATAACTTCCTCTTTCTTTATTTTATCCTTTGTATATAATTGGATGTAAAATCTCCTGAATTCCTCTATAATTTCTTTATCTGTCCTCAAATCCTTATCCAATGTAGTTATTTTAGATATATGATTAATTTGTCTTTTTTTCCGGATTTGGTTCGCCAACCATTTACCAGGTTTGTTTGCATTTTCAAAAGTCTGTTGTTTTAAAAACTTCAGTTGTATTGACTGAGATTCTAACTCTGCATGGGTTTTCTCTTGTTTTAACACCAAAAGTTGCCTCTCTATTTTTTTTCTTGGTCTCTTTTTTAATTCTGCTTCCTTAATTGCTATTTCGGCCGCCAACTCATTTAACCTTTTATTTCTTTCCCTATTTTTCCTTGCTCCTTGTTGTATAAAGTGTCCTCTCAGAACTGCTTTGAAGGCATCCCACACCACACATGGATCCGTTTCCTCCACTTTATTTATTTGCAAATAATCTTGAATTATTTTGTTATAATATTCTTTATCCTGTTCTGTTTTTATTAGATTCTCATTCAATCTCCATCTCCTGGAGTAGTTTTTATGGTTGATACAAATTTCTAAAGGGCAGTGATCTGACAAGTCTCGTGGTAAGATGTTAATTTCCTTCACTTTGGCGGAGAGTTTTCTAGTTATCCAGGCCATATCAATCCTGGACCAGGATTGGTGTCTATTCGAAAAGAATGTATAGTCTTTTTTATCTTTATTTCTAATTCTCCATATATCTTCTAGATCAAATTCTTTTTGCAACTCTATAAATTTTTGAGGGAGTTTACCTTCCTTTATTTTCTTTTTCTTCGCATTTTTGTCTATTTGAGGGTCCATCACTCCATTGAAATCTCCTAACAAAATCAGATCATCAAATTCTGCTTCTTTTAGTTTGGAATTCAGAAATTCAACAAATTTTGTTTTTGGACCATTTGGTGCATAAATATTACATATCAATATTTTTGAGTCTCCAATTGTTATCTTTACCGCAATGCATCTTCCTTCCAAGTCTCTAAAAGCTAATTCTGATTCTATTGCTTCTTTTACGTAGGTTACTACTCCTCTTTTCTTCTTCTCATATGAGGAATGATATTCTTTTCCTAATTTTTTGTTTGGGAGGTGTGCGATATATTTATCACTGATGTGCGTTTCCTGTAACGCTATTACGTCATAATCCAATTTCTTCAAACTGTTCCATACTTTCTTGCGTTTCTGGGGGGAGTTCAAACCGTTAATGTTGTTTGAGAAACATTTTATTTGTCGTTCCATCATCTTATTCATTCCCATCGAGTCCCAATCCTATATCGCCAAAAGCCGTTTCCGCTGTTCCAGTTGCCTGTTGTTCAACACTCTGTTCTTCTTTTCCTTTTTCTTCTTTCCGTGGTGTCGTTCTTGGTGTCGTTCTCTGTGGTTTGGGATCTTTCAATAAGTAGCTATAATCCTTTGGTGACTTATATCTTGCCTTTTTCTCTTTGATACCCTTTCTTGGAGTAGATAGTCTTCTTTCTTCATCTCCTTCCGCTTCGTCTCCTTCTTCTTCCTCCTCCTCTCCCATTTCTTCTTCATCTCCCTGTTCTTTCATTAATTTATCATAAAACACTTTAGCCTTATGCTCTGATGTTAGCCAGTGTCTTTCTTCCTTATATGTCACCCTTATTCCTTCTTTTCTCTCCCACCTGAATCTTATCTCTCTCTTTTTCAGCTCTTCTGTTAGAAAGAAATATTTTCTTCTTCTCACTAAGGTCATCTGGGGAAATTCTTTCAAAACTACAATTTTCTTTTCTTTGTAAAAGATTGGGTTTCTGTTACTTTTATACAAAATGTCATCCCTCACCTTCTTCCTTGTAAATTTCACAATCACATCCCGTACGGTTTTATTCTTCCTCGCATAGAATGAAGAAATCCTATAAACTTGGTCCACCTCTTGTTCAAATTCATCCTCCTCACATTCCATACAACTTGCCAGCATTTTAATAACCAATGATCTTATGTCTTCTTTATCCTCCTCCGCTATATTTCTGAATCTTAATTGGAAGTCCATTTGCATTTGCAGTAATCTCTCTTGTTCCCATTCCATTTTTTCCCTATGTTTATCCAGTCCTTTTATCTTCTGAGCCATTTCTGATTGTGTTCCCTCAATTTTCTCTTTAGAGACTTTTAATTCTTTCACCTCTCCATGTAGTTGCGATATGTCTTCTTTTATCTGGCCAAATTCTTGCTTTATTTCAGACTTCAAGACCTTGAATTCTTCTGTCATCTTTGTAATAATTCCCTCTTGTTTCTTATAATATTCTTCATGTTTAGCCTTAACCTCCTCTTTCAATTCCACTTTCAAAGCATCTTGTTTTTCCGAAATCTTTTTTATTTCTTTTAATAGGTTGTCCATTTTTGGGTTTATATCCAGAGACCCCCTCCGGGATTCTGGTTTGCCTGGGGTTGCCATTTCTTTCAACTCGTCTGCTTCTCGTCCTCGAATTATCTATTTTCGTCTGCTTCTCGTCCTCGGTGCCCTTCGTCTACTTCTCTTCCTCGCCTCGTCCGCGTCTCCTCACCTCAAGCGTCTGCTTCTCGTCCTCGAATCGTCTACTTCTCGTCCTCGATCTGTCTCCTCCTGCCCTCTACTTCTCTATCGGATTTTCGGATTTTCCCTTAATTTAATTCCAATTTATTTCCAATTTATTTCCAATTTTTCTCTAGCCGCTCTGTATCGGACTTTCTCTATGGTTTTCAAAATGGCGTCTTCCCTCCTTCCGCCCCGTCACTTCCGCCCCTCTGTCCCTTCTATGCTTCTTCCGACCTTCTCGTCCGTCACTTTAATCTGCCTTCCGTTTCCGTTTCCGTCACTTCCTCCCGCCAACTCAGCCTACTTGTTTATAAAGAAGGCTGAAGATAGACACAACAGTTATGGCGTCAAGGTCGGAGATATTATCAGTTTTCTACTTTCTTTTAGATTTTCGGGGGGGATGCGAAGGGGGGCTATCACTCCATCTTCGTCTTCATTTTCATCTACTTTAGCAGAGCGGTTTTTCCTCTAAATTTGCCTCTAATTTCGATGATTTAAATTCATCAATTTAGATTGCCAATTTAAGTTAAATTTTATTATAATTTGTATATATTTTAATCAATCAATCAGATATTACTACCGAGAGACCGGAGACCAAAAATGTGATCTCTTCCTCTTTAAATCCTGCGGCTTCTTTTCTTCTTATCTCCTTCTCTCTCTTTATTTCCCCAAGCCCTTACGGCTTGGCTATTTATTCTTTAAAAGTGTGGGATCTTGTCCCGTTACCTGTTGCTGGGGTCTTTCTTGCTTCTCCACCCAATCTGGGCTTTCTTTATTTCAACTTCTTCTTCTAATTTGTGAATGGATCGGCGGCGGTTAAACGGACCTTGCGGTTCGATCCTCGTGGGGCGGCTCGCTTTCCCCTGTGTTGCCCGGACCCACTCGACCTCTCCTCCTTGAGGGGGGGAGATCTTTGGGGTCTCAAGCCCACACTGGGATTCGCGGCACCTTTGCAAACTCAATCCGGCAAAAGGGGGGAGCATTCAGCTCAACCTAGCCGCCACAACACAGGTCCTCGCTGGGAGCTCACTCTCAGCGAGGCAGTCCCGTCGCCATGTCCACCGGAAGTTCAAAAAAAAAATTTTAAACACGTTTTGTAAATGCTTCGTATCTCGTTATTGTATTCGTTTCGTTATTGTTCTGAGGTCGTTTCGTTATTATTTCCGCATGTCTGGGCCAGTTTTATTGTTTAATTAGTGAAAAAAAATTATAATATCACACCAACAGTCAAGAACAGAGGGAGAGGGAAGCTTCAGAAGTTTTTGGAGGTTTTTTAGCATATTTCGCGGTCGCGCCCGCCATTAACGAATTGATTCGTTATTGTTTTGGAAATCGATTCGTTAATTTTTTACCATTTACGAAATTTCGTAAATATCGAACTTTTTAAAAGGAAAATTTTGTAATTATTTTAAATATCGAAACAAAAAAACCCCCCAAATACAAATCGATTTTAGAAACAAATTTTTGCGTTGTTACCCAGGCCTATTATATACATATCCCTAGCTTAGCAAGGATGCCAATGAAATGATCCACTGGGAAATAGGATAAATTGTAATTTTAGCTACTGCTTCTTGTTCCAACCCAATGTAAATTCAGTACTTGACCTTGTTCCCAGAAGTCAGCAATTCTGCTATATCTCTGCATCAGACAGTAAAATAGCTGATGCTGTATAAAAACAATGCTTATTTTAATTCATATGTAAACTTTTCCCAGTTAAACTTTCATGTTTCATATGCCAAATGTAGCAAATGGTGAATTTTTTCCAGTTACTAAAAGAAAGCATTTTGTTTTATTTAAAGGTTTCACACTTGTGATATGTCCTCTGGTTTCACTTATGGAGGATCAGCTAATGGTGTTGGAGCAACTTAAAGTTTCTGCAACGTTATTGAATGCCTCTAGCAGCAAGGTATGGTTAAATGCCAGGTAGGGTGGCTAAATGCCAAACTTGGGCAGTGGCTCTTGACTTGTTGCTTCTACCTGAAAGTTGTATCCATAAACAACTGAAGTCAGTTTTATTTATTAGTATGGCTTTTGAAAATTGACTGTGAAATCAGAGTGGTGAAAGGAATTGAATACTCTTGAAAACTCTGTTTAGTCAGTGTGTGTTTTTTTTCATCCTGTTCTCCTCCTCAACTAGGAACATGTAAAATGGGTCTATGCTGAAATGCTATCTTCCAGCTCCCAGCTAAAACTCATTTATGTGACCCCAGAGAAGATTGCAAAAAGCAAGATGTTTGTGTCCAAACTGGAGAAAGCTTATCAAGCAGGAAGGCTTACGCACATCGCAGTGGATGAAGTCCATTGCTGCAGCCAGTGGGGGCATGACTTCAGACCTGGTAGGTCTCTTTAGAAGGCCCATATATTGGAAGTTCCCTTTTCTCTCCAGTAAGGAATGTAAATATCATCGCTACTGTTTTCTCCTCCATAAAAACATTTTCTGCAGTATATTACACGTTTGTTCCAGAGGAGATATAATGTATATAGCTTATGGCTGTGGCCCATGCTTTCCATGTTAGAGCTGGGAAATAAATGTCTCTGAAGTCCTGCATAGATCCCTGCAGTTTCTCTAGATTTATTTTTATTGTGTCAGGAGCAAGCCAAACAGTTGTATTGCATTATTTAACAAACAAACAAACCAAACACAGTTTGCAAGCTTGATAGTTGATTAAATGCCCTTTGACCAGTAGCTGGCCACTTGGAGTGCCTCTGGTGTTACTCTAAGAAGGTCCTCCATTGTGCATGTAGCAGGGCTCAGGTTGCATCGCAGCAGGTGGTCTGTAGTTTGCTTTACTCCGCACTCGCATGTCGTGGATTCCACTTTATAGCCCCATTTCTTAAGGTTGGCTCTGCATCTCATGGTACCAGTTCAGCACCTTCCAAGTCGCCCAGTTTTCTGTGTGCCCAGGGGGGAGTTTCTCATTTGGTATCAGCCATTGATTGAGGTTCTGGGTTTGAGCCTGCCACTTTTGGACTCTCGCTTGCTGAGGTGTTCCAGTGAGTGTCTCTGTAGATCTTAGAAAACTATTTCTAGATTTAAGTCGTTGACGTGCTGGCTGATACCCAAACAGGGGATGAGCTGGATATGTCTCTGCCTTGGTCCTTTCACTATTGGCTGCTACTTCCCGGTGGATGTCAGGTGGTGCAATACCGGCTAGACAGTGTAATTTCTCCAGTGGTGTAGAACGCAGACACCCTGTGATAATGCGGCATGTCTCATTAAGAGCCACATCTACTGTTTTAGTGTGGTGAGATGTGTTCCACACTGGGCATGCGTACTCAGCAGCAAAGTAGCAAAGCACAAGGGCAGATGTCTTCACTGGGTCTGGTTGTGATCCCCAGGTTATGCCAGTCAGCTTTCATATGATATTGTTTCTAGCACCCACTTTTTGCTTGATATTCAGGCAGTGCTTCTTGTAGGTCAGGGCATGGTCCAGAGTAACTCCCAGGTATTTGGGAGTGCTGCAATGCTCCAGTGGTATTCCTTCTCAGGTAAACTTCAGAGCTCGGGATGCTTGTCTGTTCTCTAGATAACAATGAGTTAGAACTTTGATCTGGTGTCAGGACATGGCTACAATTACAGGTTCTATTCAAAATCCTATGTGTGTTTGCTAATTTCAGCAAGAGTTCTGTGACTTGACTGGGTTTTTCTTCTCAAGGTTTGTTCAAAAGAGGTTGCCACTGCCGCCTTCTGAGACAGTCTGACTTGTCCAAAATCACCTATTGAGTTTTCAAGGCTGAGAGGGGATTCAAATTCATCTCTAGAGCCATAGGTGTTCAAACCACTACACCACACTAGTTTTCCTCTTCTGGAGTAGATCCACCAAATTAATGAGAACTTGGTAACTCAACACAGATTTAAGTTAAATTGATTCAATGGGTTTACTTCTTAATTGATTTTTCATAAGTTTGAAAGCCATCATTTTCTACAGTACAGAGATTTGGTTAGTTGGAAATACAGAATCATAGTGATGATAATGTTAGCATCTTGCATTTATACATATTATTTCTACTTTTATCTTTAATTTCTGCTCAGATTACAAATTACTTGGTATATTAAAGCGTCAGTTTCCCAATGCATCATTGATCGGATTGACTGCAACGGCAACAAGCCATGTTCTGCGTGATGCTCAGAAAATTCTTTGTATTCAGAAGTGCATTACCTTCACAGCCTCATTTAACCGACCCAACCTGTATTATGAGGTATGCCTGCTACGTCCGTCTTGTATTGAAAAATATCATCTGTTCCAAGAATATTTATGAAGCAAAGCACTCAATTTCACTTACTAACAAGCATGAGCACTTAAGATTTAAACTGTTTTAGCCTCACTTATGTCTACTGTTCCAATTTAAATTCATGTGTTTACTTCTGGAGAGAGCTGTCTAACATTTTTTAAATATAGGCCTACTATATGCTGGGCTAGTTACTTTTTCATTTATTTGCATTTGTGACTTTTTTAAAAAATCTCAGAAATGTAGGGGCAGAGGCTGGAACAATTTGCTTCTTCTTAATTATATGAAATTAGTACATCAGTTCTGTTGCTTCTAGGATCTAATATTCTAAGAATGGAAATAAATATATAATAAATAAAACTTTTTAAATGCCCTGCAACCATCTCCCCAGAGGAACTTGGGGCAACACACAAAAGTACTCAAGGTATAAACACATAAAATACAATAAGTGCATGACCGATATCACAATAACAATGACAAGCCACATAACATCATAAAATCCCACAAGTGAAAAATCAATAAAATTTAACAGTAGCTGCAGATACAAACAAATTGCAATACCTTATCAAGACTCGACTAATGTGGAAAGATACAAGGACTTACAGGCTGATTTGCTGTTGGGGAAGGAGGCCATAGAATTTAGATATTTTCCAAAATAGGTGTCCAGCTTCTATAAATTCCCTTCCCGACAGTGTTTGTTAAATCCACTTTTTTGCTGTATGTGGTTCAATTGATTAGTGCTGTTCTGGGTCTCATCTGCACAGTAACTAATATGGACCCATACAAGTCTCACATTAATTTGGAATTTCCTCCCAATTCACTGGTCCTTCACATAATTGTCTCTATTAAGATCTGTTTCATGAAATGTGCCGGACTTAACAAGTGGGGAATTATATGTCTGTTACCTGTTGCATCTTAATGATTGAATTCATGCATTTAATTTGTTATTTTAAAAATATCTAAGTATAACAACTTAATACAGAAAAAATGTCGGTAAACTTACCTTCCCCTTTTTCTTGTTCCCTGGCTCCTCAGTTATTCTGTTTTGAAGTGTGATCAGACTTTGAGCCACAAAAAAACATGGTATCTGAAGGAATAAGGACCAGATGCATTATATAGCCTCCTGTTGGTATTCTAAGTTGTTGTTTGATATATACAAAGCTGTGTAATAAAAAAACCCCTCTGTAGACCATAACGGGAGACAGTTTCTACCCTTGGATACATTTAAGATTAGAAGAAGCCTGCAGGTTTGGTCTGTTATGTCCTTCATAATCCACTGTGCTGCATGCATCAGGTAAGATGCATGCAGAGACAAATGCAAGATACTCCACTTAGGCAGAAAAAATGAAATGTAGAGATACAGAATGGGGGGGGGGGTGCTGGCTCAACAGCAGTACGTGTGAAAAAGATCTTGGAGTCCTCATGGGAACAAGTTAAACATGAGCCAACAATGTGCGTGGCAAAAAAAGCCAATGGGATTTTGGCCTGCATATAGGAGCATAGTGCCTAGATCCAGGGAAGTCATGCTCCCCCTCTATTCAGCCTTGGTTAGACCACACCTGGAATATTGTGTCCAATTCTGGGCACCACAATTGAAGGGAGATATTGACAAGCTGGAATGTGTCCAGAGGAGGGTGACTAAAATAAGCCCTATGAAGAGATCTAAAGAGCTGGGCATGTTTAGCCTGAAGAAAAGAAGGCTGAGAGGAGACATGATGAAGGCCATGTATAAATATGTGAGGGGAAGTCAGAGGGAGGAAGGAGCAAGGTTGTTTTCTGCTACCCTGGAGACTAGGACACAGAACAATAGCTTCAAACTTCAGAAAAGGAGAGCCCACCTGAACTGTGAGTGCTATTCAGCAGTGGAACTCTCTGCCCTGGAGTGTGGTGGAGGCTCCTTCTTTGGAGGCTTTTAAGCATAGGCTGGATGGCCATCTGGCAAAAGTGCTTCTTGGCAGGGGGTTGGACTGGATGGCCCACGAGGTCTCTTCTAACTCTATGATTCTAAGAGTTCTTGCCATTGTTATTTTGTGCCTTCAAGTCATTTCTGACTTATGATGGTCCTAAGGCTAAACTATCCTGGAGTTTTCTTGGCAAGATTTGGTCAGAGGAGATTTTCCTTTGCTTTCCTCTGAGGTTGAGAGAGTGTGACTTGTGTGACATTTTCATGCCTGAGCTGAGATTCAATCCCTGTTCTCCACATATTCATAGTCTGGCACTCAGATGAGAAATCACTGAAAGAATTGTTTTATGCCACAGGCTTAACTTCATTAAATTGGTGAATTTCTAAAGCAGGACTGCAAACATTGAAATGCCTTGTTTATGTTACAGGTCCGGCAAAAGTCACCAGTTGCTCAGAACTTCATTGAGGACATTGTAAAACTCATCAATAGAAGATACAAAGGTCTTTCAGGTGAACACGCTAGAGAATAAGTGCCAATGCCAAAGCATAACAGCACCTGTAGGAGCCTTCGTAAGGTAGTGCTCCAGCATCCTCCCACATCCTGTTTTGGGACAGCTTTGTTTTATATGAGTTAGCAAGTCTTTTCTTTGATTTAATCACTTTTAATAATTTTGTTGATTCAGGAATTATCTACTGCTTTTCCCAAAAGGATGCTGAACAAGTTACAATGAGTTTACAGCAACTAGGGATCAAAGCCGGAACTTACCATGCAAATATGGAACATAAGGATAAGAGCAGAGTTCACAAGCGCTGGTCTGCCAATGAAATCCAGGTGAACTACGTGATAATTCATGTCTCTTTCTCTAGTCAAGTGAGGTCACTCATGTCTTAGTCTTTGTGACCTTCTTTTTCTTTCAGATTGTAGTGGCCACTGTTGCCTTTGGCATGGGAATTGATAAGCCAGATGTGAGATTTGTAATACATCATTCAATGAGCAAATCGATGGAAAACTATTACCAGGAAAGTGGGCGTGCAGGTATATGCAGCCGAAGAAAAATTCTGTGAAGACGCTACTGTCTCCAAAAAGCAGTAGGGAAAATTATGATTTTTCAAAATGTCATTCTAGGTCGGGATGACCAGAAAGCTGATTGCATCTTATACTATGGTTTTGGGGATATATTCAGAATCAGCACAATGGTGGTGATGGAAAATGTAGGACAACAGAAACTATATGACATGGTTTCCTATTGCCACAACCTGAACAGGTAAGTGTTTGTGTATTGTCTGAGACAGAGTTCTTAAAAAAGATACTTCCTCTATTGAATGATTGTAAAAAAAAGTTGTTTTCAGCTGAAGCTTCAGAATTATCAAATGCTAATGTGAAAGATGCATATCAGTATTACTAGCCATCCCCTGCCGCACGTTGCTGTGGCCCAGTCTGGTGATCTGGAAAATAAAGTAATGAGAAATTGTTGGTTTCTAATGTATATAATTTCTTTATGATTGTGGGTAAACAGTATTTGATTAAATTTTCTTGCTCTGGTGAAGGGGGTTGGACTGGATGACCTTAAGTATTTTCTATTGGTCATAGGGGTTCTGCGTGGGAAGTTTGCCCCAATTCTATCGTTCGTGGGGTTCAGAATGCTCTTTGATTGTAGGTGAACTATAAATCCCAGTAACTACAACTCCAAAATGTCATGGTCTATTTCCCCCAAGCTCCATCTGTATTCCTAGTTGGGCATATGGAATATTTGTGCCAAGTTTGGTCCAGATCCATCATTGTTTGAGTCCACAGTGCTCTCTGGATGTAGGTGTACTACAACTCCCAAACTCAGTGTCAATGCCCACCAAACCCTTTCTGTATTTTCTGTTGGTCGTAGGAGTTCTGTGTGGCACGTTTGGTTCAGTTCCATCATTGGTGGGGTTCAGAATGCTCTTTGATTGTAGGTTAACTATAAATCCCAGCAACTACAACTCCCAAATTTCAAACTCAAATTTTTTGAGTGATGGTCACTTCTTTGGTTTAGTAGGTGTCTTGTGGCCAAATTTGGCGGCAATTTGTCCAGTGGTTTTAGAGTTATGTTAATCCCACAAACAAACATTACATTTTTATTTATATAGATTACATTTCTGTGCTGCAGTTTTAATCAAAACAAAATGTGATGCTTGCCTGCAGCACAAACAGAGTCCTCAAGACCATCTAGAACAGTATTTTTCTGTTTATAGAATATTGATTCCCCCCCCCCTTTTTTTTTTTTGATCCTTATAATTGCCTAAAGATTAAAATGGTTGCAGAAATGTATAATGGAACTCAAGGAACCAAGTAAGGTTTGTGATTTCAGACAGGGAGTTCATTTACACTGTAGAATTAATGCAGTTTGATGCCATTTTAACTGTCATGGTTCAATGCTAGGAAATCATGAGAGCTGTAGTTGTACCAAGATTTAGCTGACTATTATGATTCCTGTCGACGCATCAGTTTATATTGTGTGTATGTATGCGCATGCATTTGTTTTCTGTTTGATCCCTGGATTTGTGTTTGCAGGTGCCGCCGAGTCCTGATAGCTCAGCACTTTGATGAGGCTTGGGATTCCGCCAACTGTAACAAAATGTGTGACAACTGCTGTCGAGAGGAGCGTAAGTAAAAAAAAAAAAAAGCTGGAGGCTGAGCGAGAAAACCAAAACACAATTCCACCTACCAAATTGTTGCAAGGTCATGAAAATAAATGACACCTTTACCTTCTTAGAACAGCCCATTGCCAAGGCAACTGCATTTACAACAGAACTGCAAGGAAAGGTATAGAAGTTACTTTATTGTGGCCTGTGCTTGGAAGGCAGTGATCTTCTACAAAAATTAATCTCAATTTACTCAGTTTCTTTGGTTTCCCATTCATTTGCTCCAAGCCACTCCTACATAGTCTGGGCTTAGTATAAAATCAAGTAACTAGCATAAAAGCATAGAATGCAACCATTCTTGCAGAAGAGCTTCATCTTTTATTTAACATGCATGCCGGTGACTTTTTGAGTGATGACTTTATAATGGATTCTCACATACATTTTGCAAAGAATGGCTGGGAGGCAATCAGATGACAATCTTAGTCATTTGATGCCACAGTTAAGGGCAAGTTTTGAGCTAGTGTTTAATGATGCCAGCCTTATCTACATCACAGAGAAACCTGGAAATTCCCTTTATTTACTTACTGTATATACTCGAGTATAAGCCTAGTTTTTCAGCCCCTTTTTTAGGCTGAAAAAGCTCCCCTTGGCTTATACTCAAGTCAAGGTTATTTATTCTTTTACTCTGTTATTAGTATTGTTTTATTACATTTATTATTTTACTCTATTATTATTATAGTTACATTATTTTGCTCTATTATTACAGTATTTTACCCTATTATTACTACATATATTATTTTAATATTATTATTATTATTATTATTACATTTACAGCATTTTACCCTATTACTACATTTATTATTTTACTCTATTATTACTGCTTTTATTGCACTTTCATTTTTTTACTCTATTTTTATTATATTTATTATTTTAATAATAAGTACGTTTTCATTGAAGGAGGTTAGAATAATGGTTTAATAAGAGATGGACAGTCTTATCTTAAATTACAGTTTTATGTAAATATTCAGAAACATTTAGCCTATTGATGCCTCAATTAATGTAATTTCATTGGTATCTATTTTTATTTTGAAATTGACCCATAGTGGATGCATTTACCACCCTCGGCTTATACTTGAGTCAATATGTTTTCCCAGTTTTTTGTGATAAAATTAGGTGCCTCGGCTTATATTCGGGTCGGCTTATATTCGAGTATATACGGTAGTACAGTGTCTGGAATCTGTAAGGAGTTGTTCCTTATACCATTTGGCTGTAGACCTCACAACAGCCAACAGTTCTGAGGGGCAATCAATGTCGGTGCAGCTGGTTGTTGGTTCTTTTCTTACTGTGTTAGAGCTTTCTGATTTGCCTTGTTCTTTGGAGTATACTGGTTGTAGCATCTGTAACTGAAGGAGTTGACCATATAACATTCTGTCTGGGATGGAGGGTGAATTTGATGGCCTTTCCTATCACCTTCGGCCCTGCAAAATATTTGCACCTAACATTTTGTTTTTTCATTTCCTCTCAGCGTTTGAAAAAATAGACGTGACAGGACATTGCCTGGATATCATCAAGATTTTAAAGCAAGTGGACTGCAAGAAGGAGAAGTTCACTCCTCTAAAGCTGATTGATGCCTGGCTTGGGAAAGGACTGACAAAACTAGGAGCAGATGTCGTTCCTACCAAACTTCCGCGTGCCGTACTAGAAAGAATCATTGCCCATTTGATACTGCAGCAGTACCTGAAGTGAGTATAAAACCTACCAGTGCCTAATTCATTCTTTACAGCATTTTTGTATCACCTACCAACCCACAATCAATGAAAAAGGACCTTCATGTCCATTTCGCTTTTTTCCTTTCTTTCTTTCACTTCATTTTTTCCTGACTTCTTTCTTGCAGAGAAGACTTCAGTTTTACATCATTTACTACCATTTCCTATGTGAAGATAGGTCCCAAAGCTGATCTTCTGAAAAATAAGGGACATGTTATCACCATGCAAGTGATAGCAAGCAAAACCAGTATTGCTAAGGTAAGATTTAATTGAACAATTTTTATTGCCATATTTAACATTTGCATTGATCCTGCAGCTTTGGTACTTGCTTCTCTCCATCACAATCCTTTTGGATCTATTATGGTTTGAAAATGTCAGGCACAACATTCCTTATCCAAATTGCTGGATTAGAACTGCTTTGTGTTTCGGATTTTTATTTTTAGAATTTGGATTACTTACATAATGACATATTTTGGAAATGGGACATAAGTCAAAACACAAAATTCATTTTTGTTTGATACACATCTTAAAACTTTGTGCTCTAGTATTTTAAATAAATTTGCACATGAAACAAAGTTTGTGTACATTGAACTACCAAAAACACAAGTGTGATTTTGGAACATTTCAGATTTCAGAATGCCAAGTAAGAGATGGTCAACCCATCTCAGACTATTTTGGATTTTTGGAGTATTTTGGATTCTGCAATTCTGAATAAGGGATGTCCAGCCCGTACTGTGTTTACTTAATTTGCTTCCAATAAATATATCATTTGGAGACAAATTATTAACCTTTTCTTTGTAGAAAGTAAAGTTAGCACCTTAGCAATATTGCCATGGTTGTTGAGCATCCCTTATCCAGAATTCAAAAATCTGAAATACTCCAAAATTGTCCAAATGAGGCATGGTTGGTTGAGATAGTGATATCTTTGTTTTTTTGATGGTTCAGTGTACACAAACTTTGTTTTATGCACAGCATCATTTGAAACTATTGTATTAACATTATCTTTTGACTATTTGTATAAGGTCTATATGAAACATAAATGTATGCTGTGCTTATGTTTGAGACCTATTGCCAATATATCTCCCCATGTATGTGTGTGTTTGTGTGTATGCAAATACAAGTACCCATTTTTTTTTTAAAAAAAAACCCAAAATATTTCTTGTCCTGAGCATTTTTGATCAAAGGTATGCAACATGCAATCCCTCTGGACCAAAATAAATTAAATACTTCCAGCAGTGAAACCCCTAAGCATGAACATGTCACATCCCAAAATGAATTCACCACCCTTCCTCCATCTCTCCACCCCATTTAAGTTGAACCCTATATTCAAGATACAAGCAATTTTGTGCCAACAATTACTCAGTGACTACTTTACCTAAGTGAATAGTGTGCCTGCTAACTTGCATAACAACTTGGCTCTGCTGCACTGCTAACAATTAGACTGTGAACAATTAGTGACAATAGGAAGCTTGGGAGCAATTAGTAGAAACTGGATCACTTGAAATGGCACACTTTGAAGCATGGGTTCTCAGTATGCCACAGTGACTGAATGTGTTGGTAATGGTTTCTGAACTGCACAACACAGTAAGATGCCTCCATGTCTCTGGATTTCTGTCAGTGGTTCATATGAACCTTGATAGACCACTACAAAATTAAGGTTTGAAACATGTGACGGTGTTTCCAAGAAGTTGCTAATCCTGGTAGAAGGTCTTCTAGCTCCTCAGAGAGTGAGATAATCCAACTAAACAGTGCTACTTATATATTTCAGCAGTCACCTAGTTTTGGCCAAATGATTTTGACAAAAAATTGTTTTGTGAACAGGTCAGATCACCTCAATTATCCAGTCCAGCAAGTCAGATTGGGAAGAAAATAGAAGCTACATGCAAAAAACAGAAAAGTAAAAGGACTCTTTTAGAAAACCACATGCAAGCAAAAAAGCCTAAAACTGCTTTTTCTGAAGATGAGGGTGAGCTTGTGATCATAGAAGATTAAGAAAACGGAGTCTTAGATGTCTTGCACTATTCATACCGACCTGTAGGAAAAACCAGGCATGGACAATATTGTTTTTTAAAACAAAAAAAGAAAAAAGGAAAAAAAAACCAATCTGCTTACAAGATAAAGTGTTTGAAGAAAATCTTCATAGTAATCAAATATTACCTGTTATCAGCTACCGCTATCAGCGTACAAGCTCATTTCAGAGTTTCTTTCCTTTTTTGCATGTCTTTTTGTACAAAAGTTTTGTTTGTGCAGGAAACATTTTTTCACATAAGTCATAATTCTTTTTTTTCTGTGCAAATTCTTTGCAGAGTGATTTTGTTAAACCCATTAACATTTGCCAGGAGGTGATGAGGCATTGGTCTTTTTCTCCCCAAAGGACAAAGAATACCTTATATCAGTATTTTAACAGGGGCCTGGATGCATTAAAAAGATACTTTTTAATTGTAAACAAGAAAACTTGTCAATTTCTTTATATTTCTTTGTTTTGTCGTGGGATAGCAAATCAGAGGTCACCATTCTCAAGTTCGATCCATCGAATCTATGTTTTTGGCTCCCTACTTATCAAAGGACCCTCAGTAAACCAAGGTCATTTCACATGAGTGAGAACAAGCAAACACCAGATATGCTAGAGATTGCAACAACCAGAAACAGTCATGTGTCCAACTACTCAAGATTAGGGTAGATTGTTTTCATTTACGTCATTAAGAAACATATTTGTACCTTTTAGAGCAGGCATGGGCAAACTTTGGCCCTCTAAGTATTTTGGACTTCAACTCCCACAGTTCCTATCAGCTCTTAGGCTGTTAGGAATTGTGGGAGTTGAAGTCCAAAACACCTGAAAGGCCAGTTTGCCCATGCATGCTTTATAGTGTTGAGAACCCTATGTAAGCTGTTTTGAGTCTCCTTCAAGAGAGAAAAAGCGGGGCATGAATAAACATTATTATTATTATTATTATTATTATTATTATTATTATTAATTATTATTATTATTATTATTAAGTACTTCAATTGGTAGCATTACCAGTTAAATTAATTTCAATGCAAAGTTATAACACAACATTTTGTGGAAAAACCAAAGCATGCTTCTGCAATGCACTGAATGTATTTTCTTTTTTGCTTGAAGTTTTTCCTTTGATTTCTATTTGAAGAACACCTCATGTGTTTAAAATTCAAACAGAAGTAAATGGTAGCACTTGAGTGATCAGTGGATGAGGGGATCGTGGCATTTATTTGATGTTCCCATTCAGTCCAGTATACCTGCAGACATTTGAATAGTACAAGAGTCTGGATGAGCAGGGCTCAATTCACTTTTTTGGCCTTTTTCCAGAACTTCTCTGAAACCAACATATATGGTGGTGAGAGAAGTTGAATGGAGACACAAAAGGAATCTTGCTTGTTTTCTATTCTTCCAACAATTTCCTCCTGTAGTTTTCTCCAGGTTGATCATCCAAACAAAATGACCTATATAGCCTGCAACACTCCAGTTTAAGACTCTCCTTAGATAGCTATGATTTCCTTAAACCAACTGCTGATCTGTTTGTGGAATTTACCTGCGTATGTATAGAGACTGCAGCATTCTAGACCAACAGATCATGATTCCTTTTGACTTTATCCTTTGAGAGACTACTTGAACAGCCTAAAAAGTGTAGTGTATCCTGATCTCAAACCATAGCGTGTGCTTTAAAAAACATGGCTAGTTTAGCCACATGCTATGTTTCTAGAGAGGTTAAGCTTTATTTTATCGAAATGGTCAAAATTGTGGGGGGAAAGATTATTGGCAGGAGCATTACAAGGAAAGTTTCAGGGCAAGAAAGACGAGATGCACCTCTCTCTCAACTTGGCATGGTTTGAAAGGGTCACTAGATGGTGCTATGAGAATAAGGACTTGTCAAGGGAGGGACTTTCTGTGTTTGATAAGTAGCAGAAGGACCTACTTCTCATCAAGACAGGTCCCTGCTATGAATAGCCATCTAGTGGCCCTTTCAAAACATGGAAGTTGTGTGCAAGACAGAGAGAGAAATCGACCCAAATTGTCTTTCTTGCCCAGAAACTTTCTTCTGTTTTGGATGCCTTACCTTGCCAAGTTATGGAATCCCAAAGGCGTTCTTGGTGTATGCATATGTCTTATTGTTGCTACAATGTAGTTTTTTTAAAGAGGGAAATTAAAGGAATTAAAGAATAAGCCAATACTGATCATAGTACTAGACATCTCTCAAAATCATGAACACAAGCCCTTGTATTGTGAAAAAGGGAAAAAAATAGTTTGAGAAATGGGGAGGGATCCTTCCTAAAGTCTTCACATCCAACCTCTTCCTCATTTATAGGTCTCTGCTGAGTATGGTACCAGGGTGATGTTTCTCACAGGAATAGACAGGATATGACAGGAGGTGTTATTCCCCCCCCCCCCACACACACATTATCCTGACATCTTGTCATATGTGGATTGAATGAAATTGAAAGATTGGTGTATGATTGGGGTCTGGCAAGAGCACGTTAAGGCTTTCTAAGACTGAAGACACCATCCTAAGAAAATTTAGGCCTAAAACTGCATTATGGAGGGCATGAAAAGTACTGATGGAGGAAATTACTGACATAACTGATCTGGGAACTCTTGGGTAAACAACATGTTTACATGACCAGATAGAATGATTCTTTAAGTTAAGGAAGTCAAACTCAATGGTTCCTTACTGTAAGGAGGAAAAAACAATATAAAACAAGATAAAAACAGGAAAAATGCTTCATAAAGAGACACTTTCCTCTTGGAAAAGTGTGTCAGATCTGCATGGGAACGCAGAGTCTGGGCACCTGCCGCCTTTCCCCCTCAAGATGGGCTAAATGCAGAGGTGGTTGTGAGTATGGAAAATGCATGAGAAGTATGAATGCAGAGCAAATGTTTCCCTTTTGTCTGTGTAATCAATATAGCTATTACAAAACCAGTACTGGAGTCTGTGAGTCTGCTTTCTCTGAAAGTGCCTGATGTACTCTGTCCCACTCAAAACGGATTAAGGAACATTTTTAAGGTTCAAAAAGTATTCATGACAATCTCTCTTTATGTGAGTTTATTGAATTCAGAACCCCTTGAAGGTAATCATTTTTTGTTTCTTGTGTTTTCCAAAATACAAAGAAAGGAAAGGCATGCTGGGAAATGTAAACACTGCAGGAACAGTAGGTTTCACTGGAATAGACAGGATTGGACATGATTGTTTTATCTAGGAAATATGCCTTTATGGTTTTCCTGATATATTATCAGAGAGCATCTCCAATAGCTGAACTTGAAGAACACTGCACCTGTTCCAAAGGCAAAGGGGGAAAAATGCAGAGAGCTGCAATTTGCAGAAAGTTGGCAAACCCCAAGAGATATCTAGAGGATTCATGGCTCCACAAAATCCTAGCCATCCCATGGATGGCAGGTGGCCCAATAGAATCATAGGGGACCTGTCAAAACCATGTTAGAAGTATCAAAACAAACACTTACTATGGCTCCCAGTTCCTTTTAAGACTCTGGTCAAAAATGAGAAGAGATATGGAAAGCAAGACAATTAAAAACATGTCAATTAAAATAAACCATTATAAATTAATTTGGAAGTGGTATTTAATACCAAGAAAACTAAACATTATGAAGAGAAACTATAATGAAAAACATTGGAGAGGGTATTAGGAAACTGGAACATATACTGTATGCATATGTGGTGGGATTGTAAAGATATACAAGATTTTTGGGAAATTGTTATAAGGGAAATAGAAAATATGAACATATAAATTAGAAGGAATATGTCAAATATTGCTATCAATTAAAAGAGATGAAGGGAAAGATAGAGGGAATGAATTTTAATTGACATGCTGTTAGCAGATAGATTATTAATTGCAAATATTGGAAAAGGAATATAATACAAATTGATGAATAGTATAAAGAAGTCTGCTGAATGGCACTGATATCAAATTTAAAAGTAAAGAAGGGACTATGAAAAAATGACTTTGAAAGTATCTGGAGAAGATTTTTAGAAAAAGTATTGGAAAAAGAAGATGGAAATTTACCTCCACATAAAGAACTGAACTTTTGCTTGGACTTTAGAACAAGAGATACCTCTGGAGAAGGGCAGCAGAGGAATGATAGAGAATGAAGGAGGGGGGACGTAGAGTCATAAGAATGGTGAACTTATGTTTTATATATATGTCTATATAATTGTAAAAATAAATAAATAGAATAAGACTCTGGCCAGTTTAAGTCTTATGTTTGTGAAAGAGTGTTAGTGGCTTTGGAACCACTTTACAAGGTAAGGCACTGTACATTCCAATTAAAATCTGCATTATAAAATAAATGCTTGTCCTCTATAACTGTTCAGTGTCCAGTTCAAAATAAGCCACAGATGCTATTATTTTCAAACATTCAGTCAAAATAGTCTTCAATGTCAATATTTGGATCCAAGAGGTCCTCCCCATAGCGTGAAAGATCCATCTGATTTAGAATTAAGTTCTCAAAGGTTTCTTCCAGGTCTGTTTCTCCAATCAGGACCGCTCCCAGCATTCGTCCGTTCTGCATCACGACTTTGACATACTCCAGCCCTTTGGTGCACCGCAACATCAATTCATGGTCTGAACCCAGTCCTTGAGCATTATATTTTCCTAGCAGCACCACCTTGAGGGAAATAAAAAAGAGGTGATTTTTTTGGTCTGTCTGATGATGCTTAAGAATGCATACCTCTAGGGCAGTGGTTCTCACACTGCTCCCCCAGATGTTTTTGACTTCAGCTCCCACAATTCCTAATAGTTGGTAAACTGGCTGGGATTTCAGGGAACTGAAGTCCAAAACACTTAAAGGAGCACAGTTTGAGAAACTCTGCTCTAGGCTATGAACGGATAGGGTTGTGGAGGACATTCCAATGCAATCAAAAAGCCACTGCAAAGCAGCTGCAGCCCACCCCTTCTGTTGCAATTGTTTATAGATTACCTTGTAGTTGAAAAATTTTGTAACATGAGCAAAGAGTTCAAAACTGAAGTCCATGTCAATAGGTTCCCCTAGAGTGTCAGCGGCCATACATTTTGCAGTGTACCAGCCCATCTGCCTAGCTTGGGTCCACAGTCTCATCTGAAACAACGAGGCAACAAAGACAAACATGTCATTTTACAGGAAGTTGTTTGGGTATGATATGCATAGATCCCTACAGGCAAATTTCGTGAGTTCATCTCATTAGGCAGCTACATTACAAATCTGTTCCATTCTGGAAATTTGACAAGCTTCATGCTTAAGCGTACTCTTTCATAATGAGTTTACAAAGGATCTAATCAACAATATTATTTTCAGGTAGTTATCCCCTGTCAGCATATGCTATTTGGCCCCCTTCATTATCACCAATCATAATCAACATCAGATCTTCCATTAATTAAAATTCAGTTATTACCCTTTTGTACCCACTGAGTATGCTTAGTCCTCACTGGACCATTTTGGGATTTTTTCCCCCTCCAAACCTCTTTGAGTGCAGCTGTGGCTGAACAAACAAGGAACAGTACCTAGAACTGAGTTAACCTGCCCCTCCATGCTATACGTGCATGTCTCTGAATATTAGGAGGAAACATCTGAGAGCAGAGCTCTGTTCCAAAGGATAGGTGATAGTCTCACCTTCGGATTGTCATAAACTGGGAATGACTTGAAGGTACACAACAACAAAGAAAGAGAGTGAAACTAGACAAAATCCAGAAGATGTGTAGCTTAGGATGAAGATATGTAACTTAGGATGGCCCATACCAACATATTTTCCATTTGAATCAAGAATTGTGAAAGGTGGAGAATGAAGAAAGCTGATAAGAGTTCTGAAGGAACCATAGACTACTAAAAAGACAAATAACTGAGCCCTAGTGCAAATTTGGCTTAAATTCTCCCAAGAAGCCATGATGGCTAAGCTGAGGCTGTTGTACTTCGACAGTATCAGGAGAAGACAGGACTTGATGGGAAAAAAAACCAATAATGCTTGACAAAATGGAGGGCAGCAGGAAAAGAGAAATATCACATTCCAAATGGATAGACTTATTCAGGGAAGTGACAGACCTGGGTCTGCAAGACCTAAACAGGTTTGTGGAAGATGGCGTGATTTGATGGATTTTCATTCAAGGGGTTGTCACAAGTCAAAGTCAACTTGAAATCAGCTGTCAACAGAGGACAAGGAGGCAGCTGTTACTAAAACACACTTTAGAATTACAATCAGCATTTATTTTACCTGCTGCCAAAAAGGACTGGGCTCCCAGGATGTTGTGCAGATGTCTCCTGCTGCATAGATATCTGGCAGTGATGTGCGCATGAACTTGTCCACTTGGAGACCTCCATCTTCACCTACAGCAAACTGAATATGTAGAAAATTGAAGAAGTCACTTACTTTTTCAGAGAAGTGTATTAATATGATGTTATCTGCACCCACAGAACAGGCCAGTTTAGCTACCAACATCTCAATTCACTTATTGACAGGAACAGAACAGAACTGAGTAGATCCACAGTAGTGGATTTTCCTCTGCTGCTTCTTGGCCTTTCACTGTTCTCCTTTCAATCTTAGGCATTTGGGGAACAGTGAAAGAAATTAACAGGCCAAGAAGCAGTAGAAGAAAATCCACTACCATTGCTTTTGAGGTCCAATGAACACATGGATCCAAGTCCAAATTGTTAATCCAGACTAGCATAAATCAAATTAATCAAGAGTGATGACTCACTGTTCAACCATTTATAAAACACAACTATCGAAGTAGTTGGATTCAGGACACCATCTACAGATCCCAACCCTGAGCCTATCTCTTTAAGTAACAGGCAGACTTTGGCATTCTGACTTTTACCTGCCTCCCAAAATATTTGAGTTTACGTCAGGTGTAGGAATTGGAAAGTTCTTTAGGAGGGTCTGGAAACCTCACTAACCCCAAATGATCAAAACTTTCATTTTTTAAAAAGACAAAAACATGTTTTTCACCCAAATAGACACAAAAGCTATGTGAACTCTTCCCCTTTGTGGAACTATCTGTAGGCTCCTATCAATGTCCGAGGAAACCAGAAGTAACGCCTGTTAGTTATATCTGGTTAATCCAAATGATGTCTGTAGTCCTCTAAGTCAGGCATAGGCAAGCTTCGGCTCTCCAGGTGTTTTGGAGTTCAACTCCCACAATTCCTAACAGCCCATCAGCCCGGAAGGCTGAAGTTTGCTCATGCCTGCTCTAGTATCTGGTGGCTGCGTATCCATCTTACGCTGATATCACATAGCAAAGAAACAGAAGTTATGAAGGGAAGTGAAAGGGAAGCATTAATTGAACTGAAAAGACAATTATATATTTGTGTGCCATGAATTAAATATTTCTACATTTCAAGTATTTTGTTCAGACACAGTAATTCGCAAATAGAATTGGTTATATTACGGACACTAACTGCATTTCTAATAATTTTTGCTATGATTATCAATTAAATTGACTGGGGTATGTTTTTGGATTCCTAAGAACAACATTGCTAGAAAATGGAAACATAACGGCAGGCATATTTTAAGAAACAGCAGTCTGGTCATTTTCAACATGAATCTTTACCTTATTACCATCAAGGAATGGCTGGACATTTGGGACTACTCCAGTTGCACTAACAACAAAGTTACAGCCATATATCCTCCCGTTGGTTAATTCCACATATACAGGCCAAGGCTCTGAAAGAACCAAAGTTCAAGCATAATAGTGTGTAAAGTATGAAAGAAACTGAATCTAGCCACAAAACAGACCCAGTATTAAGAAACTGCACATCCAGATGTTCTGCTCTTTCATTAATACAGCTCATTAATCATTTATTCATATCAGCATGGCTCTACTAAACTTGTGTGCCTTCAAGCAGTTTCTGAATAAAGATGGCCCTAAACCTACTCGTTTATTCTTCGCATCAAGCATAAAACTAGTACATTTAAGGAGGGGAGATTGTTTTTGAAGATCTTCTTAACTTTGCAACTTGTATTCTAAACACTTGTTTGCCATCATTTACATTGTTTGCTAATGCATGATTTATTTGGCTTTGGCCATATTTGGAAATCCCCTCCCTGTAATTTTGTGTTTACTCTAAAAAACCTCATGTGGGAAGAGAGGAATCTGGAATAATATTCTCCACAATGACAATTAGAGAGCAGTTTCCTACCACACAGAAAGTCAATTTCAGCTTACTCACATTAGCTCATGTTGCCTTATACTACAGAAGCATTTCCAAATATTGGTACTGGCACTTTACCTTCTTCTGTTTCCATAACATTCTTGTCTTGTTGAGCTTTGGGGAAAGCCATGGACACCTTCCCTGACTTGTGGAATTCCTCCCAGAGATAGATCTTCTTTATTTCACACAGATTTTCAATGTGAACTTTATGGGAAAGCTAAAGAACATAAGACAAATTTACCTTACACTATAAGACCAACATCTATCTAGTTCAGTTTTACAGAACACAAACTGCACAAATGAGGGTTGTGTGAAAAATGGGAGTCCAACATACAAATGTTCTATTTGCAGATATTTTGCATCTAGTTCTTAAGTGAACCTCATTTCGTCCAGCAAGACATACCTATTTTACCAAGGAGGGTGCATTTTCTTTTACCCTGGAGCTCAGAGCAGAAGGAGATTCCCTTCCCTCTGGCAAGAAGAAACAGAGACAGTCCCTCCCAAGGCATCTCTCAGGGTTTGAAAGAATTTTGGAAAGAGCACAAAGACAAATAAATAGTTCTCTCTCCACCCCATCTAAAAGGGGGCTGAGGAATGAGTAAAGTGTACTCAGACACACCTAAGTCACTAACAAGATGCGGGTCAAAGGTCTAAGCAACTCACAAATTTAGATGATATTTCACATAAAGGGGAGTGTGGCATCACCCTCACTCACTGGTCCTAGGATACCTGCTCTATAGTAAATACTTGTTCCTCTGATGCAAGAGGGCTCTATATTACTAGTATGTGTGTGGTGTAAAGATATAGAGCAAGCAGCCTCCTTAAGAGGCTCCCTCCTCAATGTGTGTGATGGAGGGCAACAGGAATACAGTATTCCCGATTGGACTCAGAAGGTTCCATTCTGCTCCCCCGTTATATGATTGTTTATTACATGAGACTAAATGCCTGAATAGGCTTTTGATGAACGAAAGCATTTTCATCAGTTAAAACTTTGTTAAGTTTCTTGCTTCTTAGATAGGTAGGCCTGATGAGTCTACAAACAGGGTTTTTGTGTAGCAGCACTCTTGTGATGGAACTCCCTTTCTAGGAAGGTTAGGCCTGAATCCTCTATTTATTGCCCTCCAATCACCTGAGAAAGGCAATGTTATTCCACCAAGATTTTCATTGTCAACACCAATCCTTGTTTTTATGATGACACCGCATAATTTTCCTATCACAAACTTTGAATTTTATATGAGGGTTGAATGAAAAGTAATGCCTCCACCTTCATAACTCCTCAACAGATGGCAGTACTGGTATGCAGCAGGCACTGGCTTGTTCAGTAGACTCTGCTCTACAGTTCCATTTTTGGTGGGCAGCCTTAGCATTGAACGGTTGTGTTGTTAAAGTGCGAAGTATGGAACCCTGCACAGATGGTCGGTCAATACGACTTAACCAATGTGCAGTCATTGAATTCTCGACCGCAGAAGGAGATTCATCAGAGAATGCAAGCTGTTTATAGTGATTGTGTTGATGTGAGTACTGTGCGTCATTAAGCGAGTAAGTTTAAAGAAGTTGAGGTGGGAACATCTGACTTGCATGACAAAGAGTTGGACGTCCTGTGACAGCAACCACTGAGTTTCATAAGCAGAAAGTTGACAGATTGATCGTCGTATCACTCAGAGAGAAATTTCAAGCATAATCGGCATTTCACAAGAATGTGTGGGTCACATTATTGCTTTGCTTGGCTATCGGAAGATCTATGCATGATGGGTTGTGGAAACAAGAGTGTCGACTTCTTCCGTGATGGCATCAGAAAACTTGTTCATCATTGGCAGAAATGTATCCAATTGTCTGGTGATTATGTGGAAAAGTGAATGGTAGTAGTTAAAGAGCATATTCTAAGGATTATTTCTGCATTTGATTTATTAAAATATTCCCATCCAAATCCAAGTAACGAAGGTGGAGGCATTACTTTTCATTCAACCCTCGTAGTTTACATATGCTACTCTTTTCATTGATAGATTTCTTCAGTTGTTTACTAACAAAAAATGTAATCCAGAATTTTAAAAAGAAATAATACCTCTTTTGCTCCCTTAAGATGCAAGCCTTCGTGCCAGTCAGGGCCCAAAGCACTGCCAATGTCCCCAGGGCCTGCTGTGTCTGCCTCTTTCTTTTTACTTTCTGGAAGGAAAAGATATCAAGACAACAATCAAAATCTATTTCATAAAGAAGGGAAGACTGGGACTTATATTTTCTAACCTATTTTCTTAATGAACGGTTCCAGCCCAGCCTACCTATACGAACATATCTCTCCTTATGAACCAGCTAGGAATTTAAGATATTCTGGGGAGGCCCTGCTCTTGATCCCACCTTTGTTGAAGTGGTGAGAACAAGAGACAGAGCCTTCTCAGTGGTGGCTCCTTGGCTATGGAAGACCCTTCTTTGGGATATTAGATTGGCCCCCTCCCTGCTGACATTAAAAAAAAAGTAAAAACTTGGCTTTTTGAACAAGCCTTTGGAAACCAGCGTAATGGATGAATATGGAACCCAGGAAAGAATGAACATGGAATGGTTTAGACAATGTTTTTGGAAAATGAGTTAGTAGGAAGTCACTGGTGATTATATGTTTTTAATTATTTTTACATGGTTTTTATAATGTGTGCTAATTGTTTTGTATTGTGTTTCATGACTATTGTGGCATCGAATTGTGCCAGTTGTAAGCCGCCTTGAGTCGCCTCTAGGCTGAGAAAGGCGGCATAGAAAGGCCGTAAATAAATAAATAAATAAATGTGACCAGTGCCATGTGTGGATACAACTGCTGGATATAATAATGCCATAGTGGAGGGGCACAGTTGTAATGTGTTCTTTTCTGTTGCCTTCAGATGCAGTCTCTGAAATCACTGAAGTGATGTATGTAAAATAGGATGCCTTCTTTTCTCTTTCAGTAAAAATTACAGCATTTTCCTTTTTAAAAAGTATACCTTTAAGGCCCTCAGATGACTAACAAAGCAGCTTCAGTTCCAACTCGCATCCTCTTGTTCTTATGTGTGGCTTTTAGCATTATTTTGCCTCTTAATACAATATACAATGTGCAAATTAAGACTATGCTCATATGATGTGGTATTTAACATTTAAAAAGCAAGTGAGGATGCTGAAAGCAGTTAGTATATTTATTTATTTATTTCATTTATATACTGCTTTTCTCAACCCCTGGGGGAACTCAAAGTGGTTCACAACAAGATAAATGGCAAAATTCAATGCCTCACAGAATATAAATTATAACACATTATTGAAATAGCATATAACAAAAGATTAAAACCAGAAATTATAAAATATCAAACATAGACAACATAAAACATACATCTTCACATTAAAGGTTAAATACCTCTTATCCATAATGCTTGGAAACAGAAGTATTTGGCCTTTTGGATTGGACTGATGTGATGATCCCATGCAATTTTAGGCCTTGAATACAATAACTAGTTTGTACTATACTGGAGACTGTACCTGCTGTTGTGTATTTTGTTCTTTTACAAACAAGTGGAACTTCAGGCTTCTCCACACTTAGCTTTGGAATCAAAAATTCAGCTGCTCCTGCATCGAAGAAAGTATTCCCAATCGCTTTGTCTTTAATGGCCCAAATCACTTCACAACCTTCGATTTCATACCTAAAAGGGTTTTTTAAAAAGAAAAAAAAAGACAATGGCTCAATTTCAACTCTTGCAGTTGGAAGTGGTAGATACAAGACAACCAAGTTGTGCCAGCTTCAAAACAGTGATACTGAAGGTTAAGTATACAATTCGTTGTCATAAACATACTAGGGAATTAACAAGATATAGATTTGAAGCCCTAGTCCTTCATACCAGAGTCTCATGAGGAATCTGGGCTGTCAGAGATGCATAAAGGTCCCTTTCCCAGAAAATCCACAACTCGAGACCTTTACTGGGTATTAACCCAGGAATGCTTTTGACTACAATTATTATCTGAACTCCAATTGCACTGGCAACCAAGATTGCCTTAGCTTTACCCAGACCAAATCTTGCTCCTACACGGAACAGGATATGATTTCTTTATTAAAAAAAATATTATATTTGCCATATGTTAGAAAAACCAAATAAAAAGAAATTTAAAGCACTGTATTCCTTTCTTCTGCCAAATACATCAGTTGTGGTTTTGTTAAGCAGCTTGGATCTCATACAATCTTCAGTATCTCACACAGATATTGAGGTCAAAGCCTCGGTTGCCTTTCCCCTGCTCTACCTATGAAGTTAAGAAGCATAACAGGGGCTTGCTGGCCTCACCCCATGGAGTCAAGGACCTCTGAGTGCCTTAGCAACACAGTTTGCTTTCTCTTTTTCCTGACTAAGAGCTAAAAATAAGAAAGGAGTGCTTGTTAATTTGGCTGGACTGAAATACTCAGAATATCTTGAGAATCTAACAGTCTTCCTAAACTTGAAGTTGGGACTGCGATACAACTACAGAAAACATCTCTACCTATTGCTACAATTCCAAGTTTGGGAGAAAAGATGTCATCAGTGTAAGAAAGATGTGTTAATCTAATAATAAATATTGTTAGGGCTGGCTTTAGCACAGCAGGTTAAACCACCAGCCATAGTCAATCTTGTCAGTTGAAAGACTGCCAGTTCAAAGCTGGGTCAGGGTGAGCTCCTTGCCTTTTGCCCAGTTTCCGCCCTCCTAGCGGTTCGAAAGCACATGTGAGTAGATAAACAGGTACTGCTTTTTTGAAAGCGGGGAGATATTCTGAGGCACCCATAAGGACTGCTGGCGATTTGATCCAAAAAGGAGGAAGTTACGAACAAGGTCTTTGGGAGGGAGATGGAGCAATGGCATCCTCCACCCCCAGCCCCCAGTGGCTGGAACCGAGCACAACATCTTCCAAGATGCCGAAAGATGGGGAAAGCTGATATATATAAATATAGATACAGATATATCTATGTATAATTGTCTGTCTAGTTGTGTATAAAATGGCATTGAAATTTTGCCGCATATGTATGTTCTGTGATTTGCCTTGAGACCTCTTTGAGGTGAGAAGGGCGGAAAACAAATACTGTGAATAAATAAATATGCTTTCTCGCTTATTCTGAAATTTTAAAAAACAAGATTTATCTTTCATTTTTTTAAAAAAACAACTGCATGTAAAAGAGCTAAAAACTCATCGAACTGTTAACAAATTATGTAATAACAATTTGCCTTCCTCTTTTCTCTCCAAAATCTCTCCAGGTACATATTTTAGTGGACATGCACTTCAAAACTTCATGCTGGAAATATTTCTTATTATTATAAGGTTAATTTTCCAGAATGAAGTCACCACACTGAATTAAATCTCACAATACACTGAGTTTATGGTCAAGATTATTACATTTCTAGATTCATTCATTTCTTTAAAAAATCAAGATTTTACTCACACTAATTCAAGTGCAATACCACCATTTCCCACAATTATTATTCTTTCAGCTTTCGCTAGACGTTTCTGGAATTCCTGTAGGAAACAGAAAGAGGAATACTTATGAACGGTGGCATTAATCAAGCTAGCTTCATTTGCTTTCAAAATAAAGTGAAATCCCCTCTGAACAAATCTTGCCAAGAAAACTCTGGATAGGTTCCATCTTGGAGTCGCCATCAATTGGAAATAACTTGAAAACAAGCAACAATAGTGTCAGGATGCGCAAAACATGACCCCCCCCCCCTTTCCCCACTTTGCATCCATCTTTCCAAGTTTTGAACATCACCGTGGAGCAATCTAACTAGATAAACTGGTCAGAGATGTTCCCTTTTCACTTTTAGCAAATCGATAATAAAACAACAATAGCAACAACACATACACATCTTTGTTTTTGATTTTTCAAAAAAAAGTTTCGAATATGATCCTAGCTCCTAATATATAATATCAGGCTACCTGAGGATTAGTTTTTTCATGGATGGGGAATTTCTAGGCAGGCCAACACTTGGGAGGATTAATCCATTTTAAAGGGATGTCGATTGGAACACCACAATCCCATTCTTCCACAACCAACTACACAAAGTATGTGTTGGGCAAATGAGTAACTTCTTTTGCCAGTTAGATCTGTGTGATCTTGAATATTATATGGAGAAGGGACTAGAAACTCACTACAATACCATCAAAAGTAAAAGGCCAGGAAAAACAGCTATCCCTTTCCAAAATGCTTTAAGCCTATCTTAAGGTAAGAAGCTCTTGTTACTTTGTGGTTTCAGTTGCTTCCTTTATCATTTTCCAGTTCCACACTGTTTCAAATAGTTTTACAAAGTATTTAGAAGAAGAGACTGAGGTTGTGCATCATGTAATCTATATTTTGTAGCATTTTTGAACTGTCATACATTAGAAAGCACAAAACCAAAGAACATTACCGCAGCACTATCTGTATCTCGAATTCCCAACACGAATGGGTTTCCCTCAGCAATCAGTTTTGGCTTTGCTCCAGCACAAAGGCAAAGCTTTTCATAGGCATACTCCTTGCCATCCTCTGTAATGATTTTCTGTAAACAGATTTAAAATTAAAGTGAGAGATAAGCAATGACAGGAGTATATGGCCTAAACAGAGCAGCTTCAGAAAAGTGTCATGAACAAAAATATAATTCAATGAGAGCAAATCATTTACAATAAAATCTTGTTAAAATCAAGGAGATCAACCAGTACAAAAGCACATTGCTTCCCTTAAAAGACTCACAGTAACCCAATGCCGGCTGTGTACAACAAATTCATCCAAGTTAGCTTCCTCAATAGCTTTGTGTGTCTTGCTGGTTTCTGGGTCAAGAGCTCAGTTAGGAAGTGACAGGAGCAAATATGAAGGACCATGATATTGATCCATGTAGGAAAGGACCAAAGACAATGTTTACACTATATGTGTTTCCTCTTGGTGGCAGTATGGGTCTTTGTGAAAATGATTAAAATAAAAAACACTAGGCTAGACTCTGGATTTTTAGCAACTTACATCACGAAATAAACTGGATTTCTCCGTCTAATTCAAGTGCCACTTCAATTTAAAGATCAAAGCCAAGATCTAATTAATCCTATACAGTTCTCCAAGTGCTTCTTCAAGCTTCTTGAGTATTGCCGCTGCATCAGAAGCTGCTCTGGAGGACTCCCTCAAATTATGAGAAGGGGCGCCCAATATGCATACCTTAGCTTCCCTTCTGTCTCATCGCATCATCACAGGCTGCATGTGAACTAGCCCCACTGCATATGTTGAATTAGTCTACCAATTTTGTGACAGTTCACAATTGCCCTTCATACCCTCATTTCACTCAAGTGGCTTTAAAAGCTGTATAGAGGAAGGAATTTCAGTGGTGCTACTTGTCATGTAAGCATAGCCTGCTTAAATTTCCTTCTTCTACATAATCTTTAAAAATACAGAAACTCTGTCCCCTATTTACCTGGCAAATCTGCTTTTAATACACTTACAAGATGCCATTAGGATGCCATAAAGGATCACAGCTTTAATTCCTCTTATTTAATTTATATCTGGGAGCAGGGATGTGGATTAGACATATAACATTACAGCTATTTATCACGATACCGGTTGTCTAAGAATGCATCTACACTGTAGAAATAATGCAATTTAACACCACTTTAACTGCTATGACTTAATGTTATGGAATCATGTGACTTGGAGCTTGGTGGTGCACCAGGACTATTGGGCAGAGAAGGCAAAACATCTTGTAAAACTTCAACTCCCATAATTTCAAATCATTGAGCCACAACAGATCTCTTTCACCTCTTCCTGTCTCTTCAAAAGGAAAATCATTTCATATCAAACAGGAAGACAAAAAGATGAAGCATCCCCTTACATGTTCTTCACTTTTCAACCACTTTACAGGAGACTGTATAACCTTAATGTTAGGACAGCGTTTTTGTAAGACGCTGCTTGCTTGTTCCTCAACATCAAATTCTTCTAAAGTTCTGGAGACCTGTTAAAAAAACCCAGAATATAGTTTCATTATTAGTTTCATTATTATCGCAGCTTCCCATCCTCATCATCTCTCAGCTTAACCAATCCTACAGGGTTATTGCAAGGACAAAATGTGGAGAAGACAACAATTGTAACAAAACTCAATTTTTTAGAAAGGCCTATGTAAGTACAAGTGCTCCTTAATGTAACCTTGTCCAAAACCACGAAAGTTTTTTAAGTTTCTACCTAGCATAAGTACTTTGACTGGGGGCTATGGAACAGATATAAAATTGGAATTATGTAATACAATCTGCAAATGCAAAACAAAAGTGTGTCTTAAATTTGCAGATTGTCCTTAAAGCAGGCTTTTGTAGCACACCTACAAAAGGTCTGGAAATAAGTGAAATATGACGGGGAGTCCAGGTATTTCAATACAAAATGTCAAGTGATGTGATGACTGGCTCCTGTAGAAAACAGCAGCTTCAACAATGGAGACTTCAGGATGAACATACAGAACCCATATCCACATTTTAACATACTGGTACTGGGGGGGGGGGGGGGGGTTGTCCCTTTAGGGATATATTAGATCCTCCAGATAATTCGATAGCATATTTACTCAAGTCTAATGTGCCATTGAATCAAATTTTCAAAACCCTAAAACCAAAAAAAGTATTTGCTGCTGAAAGTAAAAAGTGCATTCTTTGTGATTTGGCCGAAAACATTGAGCATTACACTTGCTGCTTGCTTAGAATTATTTCTTTAAAAACAAATAATAATAATAACAATAATAATAATAGTAATTTTTAAAAAAACTTTATTTATACCCCTCCACCATCTCCCTGGAGGGACTCAAGGTGACTAACATGAGGACAAGTCCAAACAAATTAGTACAATAAATGAAAATATATATAAAACAAACAATCAACATCAAATAAAATGCTCAATAATAACATAAGCATGAAATGAAAATAACAAAAATCACAATAAAACAAGTGATAAGATGGTAAAAGAATTAAGCAAAGCGAGATGGGCCAAATGCAATGGGTAATAATTGATAAAACCCATGGGTGAGATAGAAAGAAAGTACTATAACTAGTGAGAGGGTTGGACAAGAAAGTGTTAAGAGCACCAAAGTTTCAGCAATGGAAAAGAAAACCATCATCATCACTCGTAACTGAGAATGATTGCCTTCCAAGTGTAAATTCTGAAAACTTGGGATGCATTTGTGCTGCAGAATGAATTCACTTTATTTGCCTTGGTTCAATGCTATTTCACTGCATTGTAAAACTAATGCAGTTTGACACCGCTTTAACTAACAAGGCTCAATGCTACAGAATCATGGAGCTGCAGTTTTGCAAAGTTTTTAGGTTTCTCTGCTGAAGAGTGCTAGTTGCCTCACCAAACTACAACTCCTGTGATTCCACAGAATTGAGACACAACAATTAAAGCGGCGTCAAACTGCATTAGTTTTAAGAGTGTTAATCTACCCTTAGTCAGTTTCAGGACACACTATGGTCATGAAATCCTGGCGCTTCCAAGTCCCAACTGAGCATCAATGGGTTTGGCTGCCTGAATTAATGTTGGCACGGTGTTCCCAAGAAGTCGAATTAAGTCCATCTTACCTGCTTGAAGTTCACAACTGCTTTTATAACAGGAGATGCTGTGACTAATACAATGTCATCAGAGGGAAACTCTGTGGACAGCTAGTAAGGAAAAAAAAGACAAATTTTGGATTAATAGTTTCCAAACTACCGATGAATCTCTCCTGTAAAATGAAAATAACAACTATGGACTATTTGCAAGTAAATATTCATGCTAATAGCATCTCGAACTCCAGACTTTTCTACTCCTTTTCTTCTTTTTCTTCTACCTCATTCTCACCTAAAGGAAAATCTTGGATTTCACCATTGATACCTACTGCTGTTAGTTGTATCAGCTATCATGTTTCTTCTTTAAAGCATCATTAGCAAAGTGAAGGGAAATGGATAGCTAGTTAATTCAAACTGCCATGGCTCAATGGTATGGAATCCTGGGAGCTGAAGGTTTAAAGAGTGCTGGTGCTCCACCAAAACTATGAATCCCAGGTTTCCATAGAACTGAGCCATGAGTGGCTCAACACTTGGTCCACGCTCTTGTTACATCCCGAATAGATTACTGCAACACACTCTATGTGGGGCTGCCTTTGAAGACTGTTCGAAAATTACAACTAGTCCAATGGGCAGCAGCCAGATTGCTAACTGGAGCGACATACAGGGAGCATACCACCCCCTTGTTGTGCCAGCTCCACTGGCTGCCGGTCCACTTCCAAGCTCAATTCAAAGTGCTGGTTTTGACCTATAAAGCCCTATACGGTTCTGGCCCAGCTTACTTGTCCAAATGCATCTCCCTCTATGTCCCGCCTCGCAGTTTAAGATCATCCGGGAGGCCCTACTCTCGCTCCTGCCAGCGTCACAAATATGTCTGATGGAATTGTTCCAGGAGTTGCATGTGACATCTGTAGACAGTCCACATTTCAGAGGCATACAGCAGGGTTGGGAGGACAATAGCTTTATAAACAAGCACCTTGGTATCCCTACGGATGTCTTCAAACACCCCCTGCTTCATTCAGAAAAATGCTGCACTCGCAGAGCTCAGGCGGTGTTGTATTTCGGTGTCAATCTTGACTTTTGTGGAGAGGTGGCTGCCAAGGTAGCGGAAATGGTGAACATTTTCTAATGTTACACCATTAAGCTGTATCTCTGGCATTGGAGAGGGATTGGCTAGTGACTGCTGGAAGAGCACTTTGGTTTTCTACAGTGCAGATCAAGCCCTGGACTCCACTCATGTAGCTCCCCAAAGCCATTCTGAAAAATAACTAGGAAATTGCTTCTTAACCCCCACCAGTGTTGACAAAGAAACAGGACTCTGCCAACGTCTTACAAACAGAAGTAAGGACTTCAGTAGGAGCTGCTTATGACTTGTATAAGAAGCAACTCCTGCTGAGATTCCCCTACTGAACTCGGAAGCACGGCACACGATGCGTGGCTTTACAATTCGTAAGTCTAGGTGCCAACCCGGAAGTCCCCTTCTCCAAGCAACAGACCCCGAGTCATGTGGGTTTTAAAAGGGGAGAATGACAGCTCAGATCTGAGGCAGAATCCCTTACCCGTTCGGCACACGTTACTCCGGCGATGCCCCCTCCCACCACAATGAAGCGACTCAACGGGACCTCGGGGAGGAGAGGACAAGAATCGGCGGCCATGGCTGTCTCCGACTTCTCAAGCCTTCCTCCTTGACGACGGGTCGTCCCGAGGCTCATACTCCGCCGTTTGGCGTTTGTAATTCCTCCCCGCCCCCGCCCGCACTCTTTCGTTTTAAGTGGCTCTCTGCTGCATCCTAGCGGCCGGATTATCAAATTGCAGACTATCAAAGTAAAGTAAAGGAAGGGAGAAGGTTAGAGTGCATCAGCGTTTCTCAACCTGGGGGTCGGGAGGGGATGTCAGAGGGGTCACCAAAGTCCATGAGAAACACAGTATTTTCTGTTGGTCAAGGGAAGTGTGGGAAGTTTGGCACAATTCTATCGTTGGTGGGGTTCAGAATGCTCTTTGATTGTAGGTGAAATATAAATCCCAGTAACTCCAAAATGTCAAGCTCTATTTTCCCCAAACTCCACCAGTGTTCACATTTGGGCATATTGTGTATTCGTGCCAAGTTTCATCCAGATTCATCACTGTTTGAGTCCACAGTACTCTCTGGATGTAAGTGAACTACAACTCCAAAACTCAAGGTCAATGCCCACCAAACCCTTCGAGTATTTTCTGTTGGTAATGGGAGTCCTGTGTGCCAAGTTTGGTTCGATTAAATCATTGGTGGAGTTCAGAATGCTCCTAGATGGTAAGTTAACTATAACTCCCAGCAACTACAACTCCCAAATGACAAAATCAACCTCCCCCCAACCCCACCAGTATCCAAATGTGGGTGTATTGGGTTGTTGTTGTTCATTCGTTCAGTCGTCTCCAACTCTTCATGACCTCATGGACCAGCCCACGCCAGAGATCCCTGTCGGCCGTCACCACCCCCAGCTCCTTCAAGGTCAGTCCAGTCACTTCAAGGATGCCATCCATCCATCTTGCCCTTGGTCGGCCCCTCTTCCTTTTGCCTTCCACTTTCCCCAGCATAATTGTCTTCTCTAGGCTTTGCTGTCTCCTCATGATGTGGCCAAAGGACTTCAACTTTGTCTCTAGTATCTTTCCCTCCAGTGAGCAGTCGGGCTTTATTTCCTGGAGGATGGACTGGTTGGATCTTCTCGCAGTCCAAGGCACTCTCAGGACTTTCCTCCAACACCACAGCTCAAAAGCATCTATCTTTCTTTGCTCAGCCTTCCCTAAGGTCCAGCTCTCACATCCGTAGGTTACTACAGGGAATACCATGGCTTTGACTAGGCGGATCTTTGTTGCTAGTGTGATGTCTCTGCTCTTTACTATTGGGTATTGGGTATTTGTGCCAAATTTGGTCCAGTGAATGAAAAAACATCCTGCATATCGGATATTTACATGATGATTCATAACAGTGGCAAAATTACAGTTATGAAGAAGCAAAGAAAATAATTTTCTGGTTGGGGGACACCACAACATGAGGAACTGTATTAAGGGGTCACAACATTAAGAAGGCTGAGAATCTCTGGAGTACATCCAAACTGTAGAACAAGCATGGGAAAACTTCGACCCTCCGGGTGTTTTGGACTCCAACTCCCACAATTTCTAACAATGGCTGTTAGGAATTGTGGGAGTTGGAGTCCAACACCTGGAACGAGGGCCCAAGTTTTCCCATGCCTGATCTACATTGGAGTGAATGCAGTTTGACACCACTTTCACTGCCATGGCTCAATCTGATAGAATCCTGGGAGTTGTACTTCTGCATGGCACCTTCCAGCACTATTTGGCAGGAAAAAGGTAAATATATTGTAAACTATATCTCCCAGGATGCCATAGTATTAAACCATGGCAGCTAAAGTGATGTCAAACTGCATTAATTCTACACTGTAGACACACTCCTTTAGAGTCAAACTTGGTGGATTCAGTCTAGAAAGCCATAACCGTGAGCCTGCCAAACCTGAGCAAAGGTCATGATAAATTGAGATATATATCTTCTATATAAATAAAAATGTAATGTTAGTTTGTGGGATTAACAGAACTCAAAAACCACTGAATGAAGTGACACCAAATTTGGACGTAATACACCTATCAGGCCAACAAGTGACCATCACTCATAAAAACACTAAAAAAAACACAGCAGAATGGACTTAAAAAGCCAAAAAATTAAAAAGAAATCATGACAATTCATGCACATAACCACACGCAAACACACATATATACATAAAAACAAATATACACACACACAAAGAACATATACACAGACTGGGCCACAGCAATGCATGGCAGGGGATGGCTAGTCTTCTATATAAATAAAAATGTAATGTTAGTTTGAGGGATTAACATAACTGAACCCCCCCCCCCAAAAAAAAAACCCCAGCAGAAAGGACTTAAAAACCAAAAAAAGCTAAATGACAATACAGTGCACATTTCCAATTTCTGATTCCTGGACTGAAACTCTCAGCAATCCTCCAGATAGATAACATAGAGATAGGTAAGGTAGGTAGATCGGTAGATCAATCAGGAGGATTGCTCTGACTTGCAAGAACAGGTAGAGAAGGAAGAAAGGAAAGAAAGAAAAAGGGAAAGATAAAAGGAGGGGGAGGAAGGAGAGAAGGAAAGAAAAAAAGAAAGGAGAGAAAGAAAAGGGAGGAGGATTTATTTTGTCATTTGGAAGTTGTAATTGCTGGGATTTATACTTAACCTAAAATCAAAGAGCATCCTGAACCAAACAGAACTCCCATGATGAAGAGAAAATATTGGAAGGGTTTGGTGGGCATTGAACTTGAATTTTGGAGTTGTAGTTCACTTACATCCAAAGATCACTGTGGACTAAAACAATGATGGATCTGGACCAAACTTGGTATGAATCCTCAATATGCCCAAATGTGAACACTGGTGGAGTTTGGGGGAAAATAGACCTTGACATTTGGGAGTTGTAGTTGCTGGGATTTATAGTTCACCTACAATCAAAGAACATTCTGAACCACGCCAACGATAGAATTTGGCCAAACTTCCCAGACAGAACCCCCATGACCAGCAGAAAATACTATGTTTTCTGATTGTCTTTGGCAACCCCTCACACCCCTTTGCGACCCCTTCCCCCAGGTTAAGAAATGCTGGTCTAGGAAGTCATAAACAGTTTGGTTCGATTAAATAAACTAAATAAACTAATAAATAAACAAACTAATAAACTAAATGTTTTTAGTTTTGTCTCCTCTTATTTTAAAAGCCTCATTGCTTTCCAGAACTAAATGCCTTTTTCCCAGTCAAAGAAATTGCTAGACAGAAATTGGCCATAAAATAAATATTGCTTGTTCTCACTTTTGGTCCCTGCTGCCAGCACAAACGACGGGATCTAAATAACACAAGAAATTGGACAGCTGTGCGTCATATGATATGATATATACCTCTGGGGTTTTATCTCATCAACCATAGAAGCGTCAGTAGAAAATGAGGAAAATTCCCTTCCTTGGATAAGTGGCTGCATTTTACTCCTTCATAGTAACCTTTATGATAAGCAGTTGTGCAGCTATATCAAGTTTGGACGAATATAGCCAGATGAAATGAAAGCCAGACCTACTTGGATAATATAACAGTGTAAAATGGGAAAGGAGCCTTTGTAAAATTTTATGAAGGATGAATCCACAAATGCGAAAGCCAAGTCAAACTTTTTGGGACTAAAGTGACATTTTAGTAGGCATCTTGGTTTGTTTACAGCAAAGACCCAAGCTCCACTTTTTGCCAAATGTTACAACATTTAGCTAGAGCAGAGCTTGAAAAAGCTACTTTTTGGATTGTATTTCCCAGCAGTTTCTGGATTCTGATATAGTTTTCCAAAACATTAATATCCCCCGGTGGTGCAGTGGGTTAAACCGCAGAGCTGCTGAACTTGTTGACCGAAAGATTGCAGGCTCGAATTCGGTGAGTGGTGTGAGCTTCCGCTGTCAGCCCCAGCTTCTGCCAACCTAGCAGTTCGAAAACATGCAAATGTGATTAGATCAATAGGTACCGCTCCGGCGGGAAGGTTACGACACTCCATGATGTCATGCTGGCCACATGACCTTGTAGGTGTCTACGCACAACGCCGATTCTTCGGCTTAGAAATGGACATGACTGGACTTAATGTCGGGAAAATCTTAATATCCCTCAACTTCTTTTCCAAACCAAAAACAGTAAACAGTCTGATATTTACAGCCAGTGATGTGTGTCATGTGCCTCAGAGCATTTTCTCATTCATTTTAAAAAAGGACTGTTTGCTTTGACGCTCTTTAGTAATTCCCCTAATACAAATACTCCAACATTTTAAACTGACACGCAGCCCTTTTCCAGCTTGCAGTGTTAATACTGGCCACATTTGATTAAAGCCCTTAATAAGGAAAGTCAGAACTCTCTTCTCTTGGGATTTCCTGATTTGTTCTCCTTCCCTGCCCTCAGGGAGCAATGGAAATTGTTGCATGCAGTCCTTGCAATGATTAAAAACACAAGAACAAATTGCCGTTGAAGAGAGGAATGCAAATTACTTGGTCCAGAGTTCAGAAAGTATGAGACAGCCTTTGAAAAATCATGGTTTTCAGCATCTTTAACTACATGGAAGGTGGAAATAGTCTATAATATAGAAGAAGCATATAGACATCTCTATGAGAACTAAGCAATACATCATATATGTAGATATAGATAGTTTTCATGAGGTGCCTTGTGTCTCGTTTTTTTTCTTTTATTTTTCTTTTGTGTAAGCCTAAAATAAATGTTATTTATTTATTTATTTATTTACTTTGCTTATATACCGCTGTATCTCAAGCCCGAAGGTGACTCACAGC